CACACGCACACAAGCTCAGCTCCGAGTGATTTTGTTCCTCTGCTTCACGTTGTTTTGATGCTGACGGTGCGCCATGATTTCTCTTTAGCCGACGCTGAATATGGCCGGTGCTTGGATTTATTCAACTCTTTCTTCTTTTTTTTGGGGTCAAATTCAACTCTTCCTTTTTTTTTGGTCAAAATTCAACTCTTCCTTTAATCTATGTTATTTTTTTGGTTAAAATATTGGCAGTTAAAGAAAAAGTTGAAAACAAAAAAAAGATGCGGCGAGCGTGGATCGAGCACGCGGCACTGGACGTGAGACTGCACAGTTAAGGAGCTTTCAAGGCGACGCTCTGCCAACTGAGCTATCGCCGCTTTTGTTACTTTGTTATATGTTTAAAATTTTAATTACTTAATTAGAACCCTTTTTTTATTGATTAGTTATTAATAATAAAATTAGCAACATTTTAAGACCAATCGAATCTTTTACTTTTCTCGCATTATATGAAGCTTCTTCTTGGTGTTTTTAATTGATATATTAGCAAAACACAGTTGAGTATATACGATTTACCTACCAATCATTGTTATATAACTAGATGAATACCTGTATATACACGCAAGTGTTTTGTTTGTTTTAATATACATTATAAAAATTACATTTTTTTTACAAAATTAATTTTTTTCATAATATAAATATCATCCAAATTTGTGAAAATATAATCATTAAATGAGATTTTTTTGTTTTAATATAATTTATTAATAGACATTTTTTTATAAGTTTAATTTTTTTTTTTGGTATTTGGTTATGTGAATATCATATGAACTCGTAAAAATGTAGTCATTATTTTTTGTAGATGTAATAACTGAAACTTCAAATCATACATCGAATATAAGACACTTTCAACCAAAATTAAAATAGATTTCATTAGAATTAAGAATTTCAAAAGCTGACATTGAAGCTTTGTCATTGATTTGCTTAAACAATAGAGCTCATTTCTTTGTCTTCTTTGACTAATCAATCAAGATTAAAGGAAATAAAAAAATCAATGAACATAACTTGAACATAATCGTTCGAGATTAACTAAATTCTTTTGAGATGAGCTTTTTCTTAGCAATCAATGGCAAATTCCCAACGGGAACAATTATAAGAGTTTACTCTCTACTTCGAGTCCTCCCTTCAAAACCATCTTATCCTCTACTTTCTTCCTAGTCTCACCAAGTGTCTTCTCCATGTTGTCGTATTTCTTCTTTATGCTTAAACAATGTTGTGTTCTTCCTTGTTTTTGTTGATTTCTGCTCGAAACTTCAAGTCTCAACTCTTTGTCTCGGTGGTAGCTTTGTCATTGGTAGGTATGCCTTTATACAAAGAAAATGAATCAATATCTATGTAAACAAAACCAGAGTGAATTCAATACAAGGAATATAATGCAACTTTCAAAAACTCATAAATCAAAAAGGAGACGAAGAATAAAAAATCTTACATATTGACTTGTGAAATTTTGAGTCAATATTAGAAAGCATTGGAGATTGTTTGAGATTCCATCCTTCCACCTTCTAAAATGGAAATTAATTTACAGTTCATGAACTATAAATTAATATGCATTTCTTTTTGGTTTCTGTGTTCAATTAAAAACGAAATTAGTAGAATTTAATTATTTAATTCTCTCATAATTTTTTTTTAATCTGATGTGTCAAAAAAATGGATACTGATGTGTCAACCTTGTGAGACTCAACTGAGTATTTATATAATAGATAATGCCGGAAGTCAATATCTAATACATATTTATATGTATATGTATATATATATATATATATATGGTACATGAGTTTTTCGTTATAGTTTCTAAGATTTCTAGAAGACCTAGTTCATTTTTCATTTATGATTGCAATATTTTATATCATAAAAGTCAATGTCATATGCGTGTGTAATGTGTGTAATTCTATTTCGCAAGAATAATTGATTACAAAAACGAAATAAGAACAATAACAATGCGTGTATAATACAAACTTTGGGGGGGGGGGTGTTGTATTAATTAAACCCTATTGTTTTGGACTAACTAATTTTCAGGTCATAATCTATTTGGTTAGGCTTAGTTTTCAGTCAACAAACCTAAGAGCCATTATACAAAAATAATTTATAGTCATTTTATGTATCCAAAATGACTATAAATCCCACAGATATATGCTGTGGACCTGTAGTTAAATATATTATCGTCTAACTATAGTTAAAGTACGCATATATATATCAGTCCTTATGTTTGAATCACCAACTCTATTCAGGTCCAAACAATATTCTTTGTTAATCTTTATTTTTGTATATGTTTGCTGTTGCATATAAATTACAATTTCTTGTATAACACAACATATTAGTATTTTCAGTTATCAAATATCTTTAAGAAACATTAAACAAAAACGTAAAAATTAAATGAACTTTTTGTTTGTTTGTTTCATTAGTAATTAATCAATTTTGCAGGCTCGAAAAATTAAATATTATAAAAGACACATAATATTTGATTCATAAATGTAGTTTGAAACACTAAACTATATGGCAACAGTGATGTCAAATATGCCAATCCATATATGACCAATGAATCAACGTGAATCTGGAGATGGACCAAAAACGGTTGGTACATGCCACTTATAAATACATCATAAGTCCTAAACACAACCATATCTGATAATGAAGGTGCAAGATACGATAAGAGCCATTGATCTCGACTCCAGAAAAGTATTCTCTTTGTTTCTTAGCTACAAAAGCTACATACATACGTATACTAATATAACTATGTCACGTACTTATCTTACTCGACAATATCATGTGACAATCATCGAATCTGCCAAAACATTCTTACTCAGTCCATCTGTTGTAATTCGTCCGCTATACAACAAACATGTATCAAGATGTTCATTAAAACATTAAGTTATGTCTTCTAAAGTCCCACAAGAACAGTAATATAGATGACACAGTATTATACTCTTATCATAAACCAAACCACTATGGCCAAAGACATTGTTTTTTTTTTTTTTATAACAAGGGTTCAAAGACATATTGTTAATGGTCGAGGGGTAGCATGCTGTGTCCTTTGTCTGGGAAATTCTCTTTTCTAACATTAATATTACTAGGAAAAACACCCGCATATTATGTGCGGGTTTTTTTTTTCAATTATTTCAGATTAATACATTTTTGTATTTTGCTAAAAAAATATAATCATTATTTGTTCTGCATTAGTATATAATTATAAATAAATTAATTTTAAAATATAATATTATTAAAAATTCAAGAATTTATTCCAAAAAGAACAATCAATATTTTTAATTAATTATAATATAAATTCTTGTTTAATATTAACGTAACTGTTATTTAAGAATCAATTAATAAAAAAACTTTTTCATTTTTTGAGTGGAGAAAAACTTAATATTAACATTTATTAATTATTATTATTTTTTTAAATTAAAAATTTAAATTAAAAATTGATACATCTTATCTTCATATTAACTTTAAAATGCTGATGTGACACTCATATGAAAAGAGTTGATTATCTTTTATATATTAGATTGTTTGGTTTAGGTTAGAATCTATACTATTAAAAGAGAAGAGTGTTTTGTGTCCAAACATAATTTTTAATTGGTTTCCTACTATTCTGTTTTTGGATAACTGTTATTTCTGTTGCCAGCAAAAATATTGATTTTAATTTGAATTTACCAAATAAGTTAATTTAATGTAATATTAATAAAATAATATATTTTTATTTTTTTAATTTAACATAAATCTGAAAATTGAGTTTTTAATTTAGATTTGTTATAAATTTACTTAAATATAGATTATATTATCAAAAATTATAAAAAGTCATTATTATATCTTTACAAAAATAATAGCCCAGATAATTAATTTAGATTTAATTTAAATATTCAAATTTAAATAATATTTTTAATGACAGAGAGGAAAATGATATATTATTGTATATTTTTATTGAATAAGTATAAAATTTAAATATTTAAACTTAAATAATATTTAAAATATACAATTAATATGAATATACATGTTAAATGTTTTAATCATCGGTTATTTTTGAATTAATATAAATAAACATATTATAATGATATTTTTAACTGTGGTAATTTTCAGATTAATATGAACGGACAGTTTAGAATAATATTTTCTAATCGCGGTCATATATAATACTAGAAAAAATAAATCAATAGAATCAAATTATATTTAAACAAAAATATTTTTATTATACATTTATTAGAAAATTTATATATAAACAAAAATAAAAACTAGATTACATAAATAAAAAATAGTTTCTGTGCGGATGCACGGGGTAGAATTTAATTCAATTTGTTAAAAATATTATTAACTTGTTAATTTAAGCAATTTAATTTAGATTTTTAATATATTTTAATACATTTTTTTCCTATGTATATAATCAAAAATATTTGGAAGAATACAGGAGTAATTGGCAAAATTAATCTTTAGAACCTTTAACATAGATAAAAGTTTTTGAACTTAAATTTTTGTCAATTATGCTTTAACTGTTTTGAAATTACGCATGATTCCTAAAATATTTTATCCTGAAACACTCACACCTCCTAAAATATTCATAGTGAAGGTTTGTTTGTTCTAAGTTTCTAGTTTTTTTTTTTTTTGGGTTAAAGTCCTGTAGGTACGACAAAAAGTTACAGCCTAAAGATCTAAATTTTACAATACTAACCCACAATCACCCTCTCGTTTAAGAAAGATTCGTGGCATAAAAAATTAGTTTACCATTCATATTATAATAATAAATAAAAATCGTTTTGAGTTTGGATTGATGGATTTTGGTTTGTTATTCTAACCACCCCAAATCGAATCGATGCATATCCTCATGCAATTGTGCAACAAGTTTAGACCACTTAATTTGATATTTTATTTTATTAAAACTTGCACAGATCCAAGCCCAAACGTTATTAGTAAGGCCCGAACATCTATAGTAAAACGAAAGAGTTAGATAAGAAAAAATTCGGGTCCCACATGTTTTTAATTCAAATACGACGTATATACACTTCGAAATTAGGGTTTCTGGTTCACCTTCTCTTTACTCATTACCGCCGCTGCAAAATCTTCTCTTCTCCGTTCCAGATCTGAAGCTTACTCTCCTTCGGTATGTCACTTCTTTTCATTTCGTCTCGTGATCATGTAGATCAGTTGTGTTGATTAATCCTCTGCATATTATTGATTTTGGATTTTTCGGATGAACAGTAGATTTAGTATGTTTCTCTCGCCTCAGATTTCAATCTTCAGTAGTTCTTCTTAGATCTATTTTTTTACTGGCTGAGATGTTTTCCAAGTCGGATTTGATGGTTTTTGTAGCAGTTTATCTGAAACTGGTTTTGAAATTTTGAGCTATGCCCAAATTTTAAGATAGTATGTTAGTATAAAACTTTGATCTCATACAATATTGATTATTGGATGATTTTTTAAGATTTTTTTTACTTTTTTGCTATCAATTAGTATAAGAACAAAGTTTTATACTGACAAACTGATTTTATAAAATGGGCAAGTCTTTAAATGGGTGGTATAGAGAATGAGAGATAATCTCTTTGTGAATAATACCACCTTTATTTCACTATTCACAAGTTTTGTTTGTAATGTTGTCTATAAAATAAAAAAACTTTCCCATGGATGGAGAAGTCTGGTTTGCAAGGGTCTTTATCTTTGTGAATAAGAAATCTAATTTCAAACATCTGGTCTTTAACTCTAGGTTTTGATCTCCTTAAATTTGGAAAACATGGTGATTAGTCTTTTCCTACCCATTACGTTTGATCATTACAATTTCCTCTTTTCTTAAGCCTTTCCAAAACAAAGTTGTGCTGGAATAGCACTCTGGCACAACTCTGTTTTTGTGATATATCATTTCTTCTACCCAACTCAATTTGTAGTACAATTTCAACTATGCAGTTCTCATTCAAAGAAGATATGACTCAAATCAACCTTCCTTTCCAAGTTGGTCAAACAGTTGAAGTAAAGTCCTTCGAAGAAGGATATCGTGGAGCTTGGTTTAAGTGCAAGGTAATGTATCCAGACTTTATTTCTCTAGTGTGGTATCTAAGTAATTCTTTGCATACTTTTTTATGAGGCATATAAGTGTCTTCAGCATTCAGAAGTACAACTTATATAAACTCACTGCTATTTCTAGAAATTCACTTCGTCCCAAAGTGAATTGTAGTGGATGAGCCTATGAAGAGAAACATGTGCTTTGTCATAAGTAGAATCCTTAGACTTCTTTCTATGATAATCATGGGATCTTCTAAAAAGCCCTTACATTAATTTTAAAGCCACATCCATTGCATGTCAATGTTCTTTGGTTGTTTTGATAATTTTCCTCTACTACAATACAATATATAAAATGGTTTTTGTGAGTATTTGTTTTCTTTTCTCTAAAGCTCAACTAGAACATTACACTTATGCACCCTTTTTCTTTTGGTTGATGCACATATTTGGTTGTAGCTTCTTGAAAACATTGCTGCGCAAACAACAATTCATCACATCCTTTCCCCTTTGGTTGGTGCACATATTTAGTTATAACTTATTGAAAACATGGTTAGGCAAACAACTATTTATCTCATCCTTGTTTCAACATTGGGATCCGCAATGACATTTATTCAATTGATTTTAGTTGTGGTTACCATGTGGACCTTTTAAAACACACACCTTCTCCATTTGAGATCTCGAAAGACTACCTACACTAGTAAATGGATGGCACAACTGTTGTACTAAAGTTTTTGATCCTTGTAAAGAGATCTATGAGCATTTCCATGGAGACCCCTCATGTAATCATCTACCATAATAAAAAAATTATGAAAAAAACTGTGGATAAGTCTCTAATAAATAACTTTGGATGAATTTTTCCACTATTTTCAAGTATCCACTCCACTTTCTATCATATTTTTTACTACTGTATATAATTACATGAGGAACCTCTAACGGAGGTGCTCTTAGTTCTTTCTACAAGAATCAAAAACATGTGTACAATAGTTGTGCTGTTCAATAACTACAATTTTCTGTCTATCCCCTTGCTTTCTCTGTTTCCAGAGCTCTCTCTATAAACCCAAACCCTTAATTAGAAAAAGGAACTGAAATTCATTGTTTAGGAAAATTAAGTTACAGTAGTACTCAATTAAAGTTAGAGACTAAGCTAATTGTGATCTCTATCACTGCCACCTTCCCAAAAATAGCCTTTTCACAGAAGCTAGCATCATATGAAGTGTGAGTTTTGGATATCTCTGTGGTTGATTTTTCATGCTATTGAGTAACATTCAAGGCCTCATTTTTTGTTGGCAAGCTACACAAGTAAAGGCTTCTTCATGAGGATTTGTGTAGGGCCCTAAACTTCAATGTAAATATATGATGTTCTGCTTCATATTCTTAGTTCTGTTGTGCTAGTATCTTTGCTTCCGACCTAGTTGTTGAGTTAGGAATTGTGTGGTTTATTTAAAGGGAACATTTAGTTGACGTTGTGGAAGACCAAGTTTGGTAATAGTTGGGTGTGTGGAAAAGTGGGAGTAGAAAAAGAGGATGAAATGAATATGTTTGACTCCCCATGGTGGGGCTTGATCTCAAACCCAAGCCATACCTAGCAAATCTAAGATGTTTCTAGTTGGTCCTTAGTGATTTTGTCTTGCGGTTGAGAGAACGCTAGTTCATGTCCCATTGTTCAAGGCTTGAACTTCAGCTACTTTCATGGAGTGATGTAGATCAATCCATGTCGTTGGGGCGAAAACGAATGCAAATCTCTACGCTAGGAAATAAATTAGGAATTTGGGCTATTCTACAATTCTTTTCTCCTTAGGGCGTGAGAATCAGTTCTAGTTTGTCATATCCGGCATCAAGGGCAGTAGTGGTGGTAGGTTAGACTAATTAATGGAGTTAAAAGTCACGTAGCAAAGGAAAGTATTAGAACTGATTTTATTAAGAATTAAGACTGAAACAGAGAAACAATGGGACTTACTGTCTCTCCACACAATGATTCCAAAACCCTTGTGCAATGCCTATGCCGTCCAAAGAAAACAATTCTCACGTCTAACTTTGCCTCCCGTTCCCTAATCGCATGACCTTAGCAACTAAAATAGTATTTGGAATGCAACAGAAATAATGAAAACACAAACCAGCTTATTTTAATCCCTATCAGCTTCATTTTTCAAAGGCTTTGTCGGTTATATTATCTGTCTATATGAGGCCGAAGTTTGACGTTTCTTGTCATATTTCACATTTCTTTTCCTTACGGCTTTCTTCGTTCCCTCATGGTCTTTCACGTCTCTTGGTCACCTTAGCTCCTAATTTCTACTCACCTCTGCGAGTGCATATGCTGCAATTCATGCAACTGTTGCTTGATCCCCGCTACGTATTCGAGACGCTCTGTTTGCCGTTCCCAAAACCTCAACAATATGCCATCTTTGATATCTAACCACCTTGTCTAATGATGTATTGAATCTCGCCATTCAGATAATGATTTTAGCATTACCTGCGATGAAGCTCATACACAAACAGAGCTTTATACTTCTAAAAAAACTCTAAATAGAGAATTCTTTGAGCTAAACCGAGTACAAGAAGCCAAGAGCCTTATGTTCACTACATACAATCACGAGTTCATGTATGCATTAGTGATTAGGAAGATAAATATCTGAATTAAGAATCACTCAGGATCGATTGTAATTGCCAGAGCTTTTGCATGATCATATATAAACAGCTCGTAAAAATATTAACATCTTTGTATTTTTTATGTTTTGTAGATAGAGAGGATATACACGAAGGAAGGGAAATTGTACTATAGCTTGGAGTATCTTGATTATCCAGATGAAGGTGAGTGTTATCCTCCAGTGCATATTTAGTTTTGCTTTAACTATAATCAGTTTGGCTTGACAATATTTTTGTAAATTCGATTCTGAAATATATGATTCAGAGAGACATGAAACACAAGTCTTTCAACAGTTTCAAGATGGGGAGGAAGAGTGCATAATGGTTCGACCCTCATATCCACCGCATTATCACAAAAACGAAGAACTTCAAATCAAGGGAGACCAAGAACCGCTTCTTGTCGTTCATGATTCTTGGAAAGTAGGAGACTTGGTTGATTGGTGGGAAGAGGGTTGTTACTGGTCTGGAAAGGTTTTGAAAGTCATGAAGGAAAAGAAAGCATTAAAGGTATAAAACAGGTTGTTGTTGTGAAGTTGTTTGATATAGTTATTTAGTCTAGGCTCTATAAAACAGGTCTATGTCACTGTCCCTTTTGTGTAAGGAGTGTGACGAATCGTTTTAAAGGCTTAAGTTATTCTGTTAAGTCGAATTGATTTCCACATTCTTTGTTGGTTTTATCTAATGACTAAATTAAATTTCCATTAATCTATTCTGTAGATCAAGCTGCCTCCTCCACCACGTGGTGAAGGAAAGAATTACGATGCTTTGTGGAAGGACTTGCGTCCATCTTTGGAATGGTCACTTGAAGATGGTTGGAAATTGCCTTCTATGGTATGTGATTTTGTGTTTGTCTTTTTAGATTTGATCATGATCTTTAATCTTTAAGAGTGAAGGACCAACTTGAGATTTAGATTTGATCATGATCTTTAATCTTTAAGAGTGAAGGACCAACTTGAGATATTATAAGGAATGTTTTAGTCAGCTCAAATTAGGATATTTCCTCATTATTGGTTAAGTTTGTTATAAATCTTTTGATATAAACTAAAACTTTTTGAGCATGAATAGTTATTGAAACTTAAGACTTTGGTATTCTCATTTGCCATACTTGCTCATCTTGTTTGATCACATTTTTATAATGTAGGATGGGCAAAAAGAACAATGTGCTGAGCTCGTGAGACGTGAGAAGGAAGGTTAGTTTTTCTACTTAAATGAACGATGATTCTATTGTACAATATGGTTATTTGGTTTACAACTCATTGTGGAAACAGTTATTTGACTCATCTTTTGCGTTAGATCAAGTGAGTGCAGATGTTTGCGAGGCTGTGATTGAGCAAACAGAGAGTGTCAAGAAGCAGAAAACAGAGAGAGCCACGCAGCAATTGGTATGCAATGGTGGAGATATTCGCCTGAATATCATGGAGTCAGATTCGATTGAAGCTCCAATCTATGACTTGGAAGAGCTTATTGTTCGAATCGAGTGGATAAAAAGCATGTTAGTTCCTGATGCTGAAGGTTCAAAATCATGTTGGAAGTATGAAGATCACCGCCCGTCTTACACTTGAATGTGAATATAGAGCGGTAAGCTTGTGATCTTTTTATATCAATCAAACTCTCTCTCTCTCTCTTTATCATTCTTTAGTGTTTACATGAACATCATATTTAGGGTCGATAGTAATTGGATTAAAGAGTATTGTGTTTGTATATCTTTCACTTCTGTAATTGTATTGTTTGATTTTTTTCAGGGATTTCCACAGAAGAAGAAATTTTGTTGAAGAATCGATTAGTAAGATGGGAAAGAAACACACGTGAGTAACTTGGGAAGAGATGCTTTAGAGTTTTGCAAAGATGACAAGAACTGATGTAGGTTGTAAATATTTTTCATTTTCTTAAATTTGATGCTTTGTGTATTTGTTGGAAATTTTGACATTTATAAGTGCTTAGACCGAAATGCTATAGTAGTTAAGCAATATCTTATTATATAAAATTGAATCTATCAGCGTAACAATAATTATAACTCACGAGATTAGAATATGTGTTAGACATGTGTTATTGTAAATTTAGAATGTGATGTGTTAGACATGTGTTATTATTAGTTTAGAATGCGATATCTGACCGTATCATTCATTTATACGAGAATTCGGTTAAAAAAATTTCAAACTTTCCAGAATTTGCCAAATAAAAGCACAAATTGTAAGTTTAGCCAAATAAACACTTAACTTTTGTTGACTTTCAAAAATAATAACAAAATTTGCATTGATTTGCTAAATCAGCACGTCGTTTATAGAATTAACAGAAGTTTTAAACATCATTTTCAAAAAATTTAAAATTCGACAATTTTAAAAAATTTGTCTTCAGAAACTTTTGCCACTGAACCATTGACATTTTCAATAAAAAGGGGAGCTTGGATTGTTTTTATAACATAAAAATGAATTTATGTCTGAAACCTAGAATCCCTAATCTCAAATTCTCGTCTTCCTGAAACTCGCTGAAACAAACAAAGCAATCCAATGATTTCACAAATCCATCACCCTTTTAGTACTTGTAAACAATAATCGATTTGATCAGAGATTCATCGAATCCATCCCCAGCCGCCGCATTCGGATTCAGAGCTCGGATTGTTCCCTGTCATGGATCGTTGGCGGATAAAGAGATTCCATGATCTCGGCTGATAGCATCGGAGGAGCCTAGGCGACGGCGGTGGAGATTCGGGAAATTAGGGTTTCAGACATAAATTCGTTTTCTGTTATAAAAACAATAGTGTTACCTATTTGTATGAATATGGTTCAGTGACAAAAGTCTCCATTATGCACTTTTAGGTTGTGAGTTCAAACCTACGTGAAGACAATTTTTTTTTTTTAAAGTTGCAGAATTTTAAAACGGTGTCGTATCGATTTAACTCCAACAGTAATAGTGGAGTACTTAATGGCGTTTAAAGTTTCTGTTAATTCTATAAACGGCGTGCTGATTTGGCAAGTCAACAAAAAATTTGTTATTATTTTTGAAAGTCAACAAAAGTTAAGTATTTATTTGGCTATATTCACAATTAGTGTTTTATTTAACAAATTCTAGAAAGTTTGAGATTTTTTTTGCCGAATTCTCATTTTATACCCATTTTCAAACTAATTTCCCCAAATATACTCATTTTTTCCAAACAATGAGGGACATACTCATTTCTCTAAAACTTGCGCCTATCTTCAAAATTCGTCTGTCTTGCACACAAATCTGTCCCAGACCCGAGAATGTTTTGGGTTTTTTCCATGAGCAATCGATGTGACATTACACTTGCTAGCTGAGGCAGTTTGTTAGAAGGTGGGTCAATTGACCCATGTGAAATCCAAAAAATTATATATATTTATACTTTTTGAAAAAAAAATAGATGAAATGTTAAAAAAAATTAGCTTAATGACCATTGTAAGAATACAATTGTAAATTAAAAATGACTCGGTAAATTTTTTGGCTAGCTCCGCCATTGATTATACTAATGGATCAACCCACATCGATTTGTCCCCTCCCGCCTTGATTTGTCCTCTCCCGTCAAAGGTGATGGAATGGAATCCAAAACTTACACTCATGTAAGAGCATGATGATATATGGTGCTTCCCTAATTAAACATTTATACAATTTTGTGTTATAGCTTTCCACATAAACCAATGATCTAGGGAAAAGTCTCCATTCCATTTGCAAAAACATTAAGTTCTTGTTGTCCCCAAAATAAATAATATAGATTTGTCAAACCGATGATGTTGGTAAATGAGATGATACTGATGGATCGGTGGCCATGCCTACACTTATAGAGGAAGTGGTATTCAAAGGGCGTAGATGATTAATATTTTCCTCTTTAACCTCACATCTGGGACAAGTTACGCTTTTTTCCTACTCAAAATAGTGATTCTAAACAAAGAAGTCCTCATAGCAAAGAGAGGAAGGCTTCCAAATACGTAATCATCAACGACATAAGTATAGACTGATTTAAACATCTAAAGACTGAGAAAATTGTAGATTACATACCTGGGAGTAGTGGGAATAATGAAAAGCCAAAAGATGATTGAGTAGCGAGATCGGTAGACGGAGTTCCTTTAATAAAAACTGGTTTGGGATCTTCATTGACTCTTGCTTGCTCAGATCATTAGAGATTGAGAAATCTTGACCACCTGAATCTAGACTGAGGAAAGTTTTGAGATTCGGCAGGAGAATTGAGACATCGTTGGAACCCTAAAGGTTTTTTCGCCAGAGGGAACCCTAAAAATTCGGAAGCTCTGTTTCCTACCCCTCTTTCTTGGAGAACAAGTTCTTTTATTGCATCTTTCATTTGTCGTCGTGCATCTTTCATATATATCCGTATTTTCCATAATTTTTTGTTGTTATTTTTTTATTTGTTATGGTTTAGGATATATATTGATAGAGAAACGAAGAGGATTTGATATGCTTAAACAAAAGAAAAGATTTGCTAAGCTATTTTTTAGGGAGATTTGTTGGATTTTACCCCAAAAACAATTATATATATATATATATATATATATATATGAATACGTACAAATCTTTTTCAATTATCGCCATTTTCTCTTTTCATTTAGATATTTTACACACATTATATAACACATGTTATTGTAACGATGCATAAAATATTAAAATACTTTTTTTTTGGAAAGTAAAAACAAATTACAGTTTATTCTTTTTAATAAAATGATTGATCTTAAAAGAAAAAAAAAAAATAGAACCAGAGAGAACTGCAATCGGAGCCAACAAGAACCTTATCCATCTAGAAGCCTCAAAAGAACGACATCGCCTTCCAAACGGAGAAACTCTTATCAACATAAAAGTCGGAGGAAAAAACACAAACATAACAAGAAAAAAGTTATCCCTGAGGTAAAGAGCAATGGCAGCTGTGAACTGCCATTTCTTCAAGCTATCACAACATCTCAAACCCTCAAGACCTTCCTTTTCCTGCTCCGCGTCTCAACCTTCACAAAACAACATAAAGGTAGCTATGACATCATCATCATCATCATCATCATCATCATCATTAGTTATCACTTATCACCATCATTATCATCAGGAGTTTCCATACAATGCAGCTTGAGATGAAAATGCTTATAATTTCCCTATCAGGTAATCATAAATGGAGCTGCAAAGGAGATAGGAAGAGCGGCCGTGGTTGCTGTGACTAAAGCCAGGGGAATGGAGTTAGCTGGTGCTGTCGATAACCATTTTCTTGGCGAAGATATTGGCTTGGTGACTTAACTTAAAACCCCATCTCCATAATTTATTCCACCTGGTTGGTTTTTCATATTGACTTTTGACTCCCTAACTCTTAATGTTCTTTTAGCTGTGTGACATGGAGGAGCCTTTAGAGATACCAGTAGTGAGTGATCTGACAATGGTCTTAGGCTCGATATCTCAGGTATCCATTATCTTCTCAAACCTCCGTCTCTCTGTTTCCACTAGAGTAAGTTCTACAGAGTACAGAACAACCTTAAACCAAAAACTTTGGGTAGGGGAAAGAAATCGGAGTTGTGATCGACTTTACAGACCCATCAACAGTATATGAAAATGTAAAACAGGTAACATATTATTGTTTTATCTTTTTATCAAGCTCTTATATCCACTAATATGGAAAGTTCAAAGAAAACTAAAAACAGTGGTAATGATTTCTGAATTCAATCAAGGCAACAGCGTTTGGGATGAAGAGTGTGGTGTATGTACCTCGAATTAAGCCAGAGACTGTATCAGCGTTATCTGCATTATGTGACAAGGCCACCATGGTGAGCACAGGGTGAGATACTCGCAGCAAATTCATTATGTTTCCTTTCTTTGTGAGGTCGCTAGTCCCGAAGCAACAGTTAATCTAATTCCCTCTCTGCTTGCGTAAGGGATGCCTTGTAGCACCAACTCTATCCATAGGGTCTATTCTTCTCCAACAGGCTGCGATCATGGCCTCCTTCCACTATAACAACGTAGAAATCGTGGAGTCAAGGCCTAATGCAGCGGTATGACGAGAAAATAGAATGAGATGGTCATCTATGACAGAAACTCATGCACCTTTTGACAATAAACCACAAGAAGTGACTCAAAGGATACCTATGAAAATGCAGGATTTTCCTTCACCAGAAGCTACCCAAATTGCAAACAACATATCAAATCTTGGTCAGATCTACAACAGAGAGGATATATCAACTGATGTTCAGGTAAAGCATGAATACGCTTGCGGGAAAAAAGCCAGAATGGCTAATATATACGGACCTCTTAGAATCCAGTACATATTACATAAACAGAGCTGAGTTTTTCTCATATATCTAGGCAAGAGGTCAAGTAATTGGAGAAGACGGTGTTCGTGTTCACAGTATGGTTCTACCAGGACTACCATCTAGTACACAAGTCTACTTCTCAAGCCCAGGAGAAGTAATTATACATATTGCCGTTTAGTTCAAATTCAAACTGAAAATTTCCATCTCCATTTTAATGTTATGGACAGCTCATAACAATGACACAAACTTCTGGATGCAGGTTTACACTGTTAAACATGATATAATTGATGTAAGGTCTCTAATGCCTGGCCTACTCCTCGGTATTAGAAAGGTGGTACGCCTCAAGGTAACAAGGAAGCAGGCGAGAATACTCTTTTGACGTCTTACTTACTGTATCTGATGCCGATTTTCTCGTTTGGTTTTACAGAATCTGGTTTATGGCCTCGAGAAATTCCTCTAGAGACTGAAATGCTTCGCCAATCATCAATTGAGAAATATGGATCAAAGATTGCATTATCATGAACAGCTCATGTCATCCTGCAAGTCATATAAAGGAAACACAATAAACACAAAGTTCAGAAATATGTTGATGTTTCCTTTCATGATGATACGAATATTGATTTATAAAGTGAGGACACTAACAGATTCAACTGAGAAAGCATTATCCTAAGGCCTATCAAATAAGATGTTCAATGCTTTTGGTTATGGATATATCAATATATTTTCAAGTTTCGGTTCAAACTTTAAACGTAAGTTGTATATCGCCAGTGCCATGTAGTCTACCCGCAAGGATGTGGTCTTATAGATAAATTAGCAAAAGGAACTAAAAAATTGGCTGTGGTCTAATTAAAATCACATGAAAATGTGCAAAGTCCTCTCATATTCAGATGGAACAGCTACGAAGCATAAATACAACGATGGAGACTTTGTCCGGCTTGTTAGTACACATATTCAGCTTAACATAAACGCACACAAAGAGAAAAATGGAGAAGCAACAAATCCTTATTCCATTTAGATCCATGAGAACAATCTAACCTCTAAATTTCTCCGCAATGGCTCCAATCCAGGCTCTATCTTTGTCGCTATATGCATATCCAGCGGTAGAAGCCACCATCAAAAACCCATCCACTTTCTGCGATTCATTTGTGTTTTCTACGAGAGGTTGCACAAAAAGAGAACGTGTCCCATCGGGAAGAATATCCCAAGACAGTGAAGAACCTAAAAAATCAAACCAAAATTTAACATATTTTTTCCACAAACCAAAAGAGTAAAACTTAACTTTCTTGCATTTAGGTACAAAATATAGATCGACACTGCTGAGCAAATTCAAACTTGCACGATTGAAGAAAACAAAATACCTGCATACTGAGGGAAATAAAGGGTTTCTTTCACATCAGCCAAGCCGATTTCATCTACCTTTCTCTTGAACCAATCATTTAGTTGATCCTTCGACATCTGACCAGGACAATTCCAGTACCCACGAACACAAAGCTCACCTTGAACAGATATCAACTGAAGAAGAGAGTAAAAGCAAACTTTTTTTCAGTAGAACAGAAAAGTTCTTACACAATGAAGCACGAGACTTGTCCAAGACAGAACACTATACCACAGCTACGGTACTTGTGTTCCTCAACAAAACATATGTTGCCCATGCTAACTCCTCCTTCAAAGACTCTCCAATATTTGGTGATATCACAAAAACCTGCTCTCCATCCTCAGGGAGAGTTCTCTGCTCTACTTCAGAGCCCTTAAAAACAGCATTATCTTTAAGTGAAAAACAAACAAATCTTCTCTCACTCGAAATAGTAGGCAATGTAAATATGATTACCTTGAGGAGTTTTCCAATGTAAGGTAAGGCTATGGAAAATGCAGCAAGTGATAAACCCAAAGCCTCTGATCTCTGTCACAAAGATGATAAAACCAAATAAATTCATCGCTTACAATAGCAAAACAATGTTAAGCAATTGGTACAATTTTTTTACCAGCTGAGATTCGCTGGTTGGACCTGAAGCTGATAAATGGTTGAGAAGAAGAAGAGATCCAAACCCGTACCCGATCCATCTCGGTAGATAAGATTCGTCAAGCCCAGGAATCCCTACAAAAACGCAGACACAAACCCGATTCAAAATCAATCTCAAAGATAACAGCTTTAAAAAAAAAACAATCCCAAAAGGAACAGTTTTTTTTTACCGAAAGTGAAGCGAAGAACGGAAAGGTTGAGCTGTTGCTGATCAGATGTCTTTGATCGTGAAGAATCGTTTTCTGCACGAGCGACGATTCGTAAAGACCTCGCGGCGATTTGGGCGCGAGGTCGAAGCGCGAAGCTTGGATGTAAAGGGGAACTACAAATTCGAATACTCATTTCTCTCTCTTTCTCTTAGATGACTTTAGAGAGTAGAGACCATAGCCTCTGTTATCGCCATTGATGAGACTTCGAAGAACCTCTGCGTAGTATGATAGGCCCATTAAGGGCAGGCCCAATTATTAAATTCTAATCCGCTAATCTCCAATTACGTGGGGGAATTACTCAAGTTTGTTGTTCGCATCCACCAAAGCTAAAGTGAACAATGCTAATTAGTAATTACTACGTTAATGTGTTTTGTATTTGTTGTTCTTATTTATTTGGTTTTAGTAATTTTCAAAACAGTGATGATTTCAGTTTGTTCACGACTACTCAACATGATTAACAACTCAAACAAGTCCCACACGTGCACATAGATAAGAGTATAAGACTAGAAACAAGCTTAAAATGACCTATAAAGATATATCAAAATTGGTGAACACAAATACACAATGTCTTGTACAGTAGAGATTGTATGGGTTACAAGAAGCAAAACATCAATCTATATATATAATATATATATTTGTGGACAATAAAGGAACGATGGTAAAGATCATAAGTTCGGATACCATAAGGAGTGAAAGTAAGATTGTTTGGAGACTAATAAAAGTAGAAGAAGTAGCATAAGCAAGACTCCCCATGGAAAGTGGCCTTCTCCGAAAAGGGACGACGCAGACTTGTTTGCTCTAACGTAGTAAGAGGATCTGAAGAGAGCTCGATGGACAAACTGTAGAGCAACCAGCAGGAAGACAAAGAGAATTGGGAGTAACATTAAGAAGAGCTTGAGATTCATGGCGGTTTTCTCAACCTCGTACCTGTAACGTGGGTACGAGGAGAGGAAGAGGAGCATAGATATGATGGCAAAGAGAGTTAGTAGTTTAAGAGGAGGTGTTGATGATGTCAACATTGTTTCCTCTAACCAACGACCTTTTCTTTCTTTAGCAGACCAACCTATCTCTCTCTTCCTCTCTTTCAATGCCTACTTTGTATTGGAACTTTAGACACGCATGAATAAGCATCGATCCATACATAAATAGAGAGAAAGCGAGATTTTTTTTGATACAAAATATATATATAGAGGGTGTAAGAATTTGTATTAAATGTTTTGAGAAAGTAGTGAATAATATGAATACGAGTAGAAGCGAGAACAACCACATAAGTTCTCTGGGAAAGAGTCATTCTCGAACACTCTTTATACCAATCTTTTTCTTTATTCGAGATTCCAAAGGTTTTTGTTACTTCTTCTCTTTTCGTCCTTTCGGAATTTTTATTATAATCAAGAAAATGATTTCGTACTAGGTATGGTTAATTTCAGCTAGTTGTTGTGATTACATTTTGGATATAAAATGAAGAAATTTAAGAAAAAAAAAACTGTATCCGATCATAAATAGTTGAATACAATTCTTCACACATTATATTTGTGATATGAAGAATATTGAAAGGAATACATTCCTTTTGAAAAAACAACCGAATAGTTTTCACCTTTCCAACCTGCTTTTGAAAAGATAATCAAATGGGTACCTAGTATCATGTTCTACTATAAGAATAATGCGCTTGATTACAAAAGATAAAATAAGGCATCTAATCCTTAAGGCAATAACAAAAAAATATAAATAAAACCGAAGTGGAGGATTTTGTTGATGTATCAAAAGCAGAATTCAAAAGACATCAATGGGAGAAATAAGCCATATATTGTGTATGTTATTGTTAGGGATAGGGCTGGAATTATTATCCGGTATCCGCTATCCGATCCGGTATCCGGTCCTATCCGATCCGTAAAAACCGGATATTCGTGTAGTTCGGATCCGGATCCGGATAGTGAAATTAAGTATTCGGTTATTTCGGATACGGATCCGGATAATAGAAAATTTTAAAATCGGATATCCGTTATCCGTTATCCGTTTATTAAGATTTTGAAAATTTTGAAATCTTTTGATATGCATTTAATTTTTTGTTTTAATTATGTTTGAAAATTGTTTTTGTTTTAATAATTTTCTATTTCAGATTGTGAGAGAAGACCATGAAAATAGATAACACAAAGATATGAAGATAAATTAACTTCTCTATTACTATTTTCTCTTTTGCTATGTAAACTTTTAAACTTTGTGTTATTTGAATGCTACTTGAATGCTTTAAAATTTTTGGTATTTGTAATTTTTGCTATAATGATACATTTTAATTATATATGTTATCTCATTATAATTTTAAAAATTGAAGTTTTTTTTTTAAATCAACGAAACCGAATATCCGGTCGGATATCCGTAAATCTTCGGTTCAAACCGGATATTCGGTCTCCGGATATCCGGAGTTTTTGGATCCGGATCTGGATAATAAAATTGATTATCCGTCAAATCCGGAGCCGGATCCGGATACTTTGAAAAGTCCGGATATCCGGCTCCGTTCCAGCCCTAGTTAGGGATGATATTCCGGATACTATTATATTAAATATATTAGGTGAATACCTGCACGTAACGTGCGGATTTTTCTTTTCAAAATTTTCGATTTTTTTGTTATATTTTTATAAAAATTAATATAATTATCACTTATTATTTACTTATTTGTTAATATTTTATTCTAAAATTTTTTAAAATATTAATTTAAAATATATATTGAATATTATTTAATAATCTAAAATTATATTAAAATTAATACATATCATTCAATATTTTTAATTAGTTATATCATAAATTTTTGTTTGACATTTACACAAATATTAATTAATAGTCAATTAATAAAAAAAATTAACATTAATATAATCATCATTTTATTTGTTACTTGTTAGTATTTTATTATAAATAATCTTAAAAATTAATTTTAACATCTTGAATATTATTAAATAATCAACAATAATATAAAAATTATATATATATATATATATCTATCAATATTTTTAATTAGTTATAACATAAATTTTTGTTTAACATTAATATAAATGTTAGTTAATACAATCTTTTCATATTCTTTAAGTGCTTATATAAATGTTAGTTGATACAAATTTTTCATATTCTTTAAATGCTTTAAAATTTAATATTAAAATTTATTATTTAAAATTTAGTTGATAGGTGTCAATTTCTTCAATGCTGATGTGTCAAACATATGGAGAAAGTTGATTGTCTTTTATATATAAGATAAGACCGCAACATTTGGAAAAAGCCTCGATGGAACTTGGAACTATGTCTGAGCAAGTCGACGACATAACAGTAAATAGTCGACGACACAATAGATTTTGCATTTTCTTAAGATAATAGATGAAGTAAGCTTTAAATGCTTCCATAGAGGTGAGTAATTTTATGTGTAATCGCATTGTGTAATCGCATGATTACGACGCAATTGCATTTCAGCGACTTTGCGTCAGTCATAAAGAAACGACTAGTTGCAACAAACAAACGTGGTATTTAAGAAAATGATAGTACATTTTCATTTACCAGCGATTAGTGTGATTTTTTAAGCTATTTTGGATGGTTTTATTATTTTTTATTTAATTGTTACGATATGTGATTTTTCTCTGTAACATGTTCTTTTTTCCTACATAAATTTTGAAATTGAATATATTTTTATGGTTTTACTCATATCATGGAACGCTCATATATAGTTAAACAAATGAATTTGTTATTTGCTGAATTTTTTTATTAAAAAATGTGCATATGCTATTTGTTGAGATCTTATAAATGGGCTAATGACCAACTTTTTTTTTGCTATCAAGGCCGGCTCCTAATAATCATTCATTCAAGATTTTTTTTTTTAAATGATTTTTAAATTTATTCTCATAATAATCTGTTTAGTACAATTTTTGCATCAGTTTTTTTTTATAATATCGAATGTAAAAACAGAAAAAAAAAGAAAGCCTTATTTTTTTAGAAATAACTGAATAACTATTAGAACTATTGAGCAGTGAATCATCTTCTTAAACCATCTTCATAGGCATGATCCCCCAATGGAATTGAAGCGACAGCGTATATTCTTATCTCTGAGCTTGATCATGCGTTGAGGAAGAGTTAGATTTTCACCATGTTGAAGCGTTCTCTCCAAATGTGATATAACAATGATTGAAACATATATCTGGCGATAAATGTTATAAGTCTATCAAAAAGCAAATAATGAATGAGATAAATAAGTTGATCTCAGATTGCGGAGAAATGATTAATGAGCAAATTTTGCATGAGAGTTTTCTAAACCTCCAAAAAGTAGCTACAATCGAAGAACAAATGATTGCAAGATTTATTGAGGTGATTACACAGAACACAATTGCTCTGTTGTACCCATGCTCCAACTATCCGTAGTTAATAAACGATTTAAGGTGGCTAGCAAAGCAATGGTTAAACCAGATTTCCTTATGCCAATTTGTTATGGAGTGGCTGCTCTGATCTAACTTCACATTCCATCAAGAATTTTGAAACAACATTATGTCATCTTTGAACTATAGTGCCGAACTAATTAATTTAGATGTTTTATTCAAATTTTTTATATATATATATATATTTAAAAAAGATCATAAGAAAATAAGAAAATTAAATTAAAAATTCATAAAACCATCTAACTTCATAGATAGTTAATTAAAAATAAAAAACTAACAAAACAAATATTTTATTGTTAAAATATTTTTTGTATTTTTTTTGTAAAATTATTCATTAAACTTTCATAGTCAAGTTTTTCAACCACAACTATCTCAATCAATAACAAAGCTAATTCATTTATTCGCTTTTGTGACATAGTAGATTGGAAATAATTTTTTTTATCATCTTCAATTTCGAGGCAATAAACATGGTGTTGAAATTTTTTTTCTTTCTAAAATATAATTTCTTTAATAAAATAACTATGACTTTAAAATATGCCTTTAACCAGTATTTTTAGAGAAAAATTCATAAACATTACATAAAGAAATTATAAATATCATTATCTTATAAATAAAGCCTACAAATTTTGTTTATTTATATATAGCCCTAATTAAAAAAATTAACAAATTGTGCCCCAAAAAATTAAATGTCTTAATTTGTCACCTACTTTGCTTGCTTTGGGTTGATCCTGACTATACTCTATAAGTAAATTTAATGGAAAAGAACATAAACAATAAAGAATAACATGCATTTTCTAAGCGTGGAGCCTTAATCTTCCCTTAGTTCGGGACTAACATTTGCTAATATCTTATTACATATATAGCTTAAAACATCCCTCTTACTGAGAATCAAATTAGGAGTACATGGGCCAAACCTTGCACTTAACCACTAGCTCACTTTATATAATTGAAAGTAAATGCCCACTGTAGGGTTCGAATCCACGACCACAAGGTTAAGAGCCTTACTTTGATTCGTTTTTTTTTGTTATAAACTTGTCCCACATAGGCATGAGATCAACAGTGTTCTGATCCCAATTGGTATAGTTTTGACATCCTAATTCATTTAGATAACATCACAAACACTACAACGCCACTTGTCACGGATCCAAATAGATGGATGTGTACGTGTGTGCATTATGCATATATGTAAACATATTGACGTATATTGAGGAGACATAGAACGTGGGACTCACTGTATTTATTTTGAGCCAAAGACTATGTATGATTGAAATTTAAATAGCTTTAGAAAAAACTATGATATTTTGAATAATATGTTTTTAAAAAAAAATGAAATGTGTTATATTATACAAATATTAAATAATATATGTTAAAAATTATACGAAAGATAGCATAATATATGTTAAAAATATTTATAATATATTTAACGGATCAATATAAACTTTAGAATTATGTTATCCAAAATCCAAAATTTTCTTATCTGAATCTGGATCTTGCCTCTAAATATGTTAATTTATAGAGCAGGTCGAATTTTAGATCCCCATCATGCTAGGCAGGACCGGATCTGAGAATTTGGGAGCTAGAAACAATTTAAGAACAAATATTTTTTTTTGTGATTTTGGGGCTGAAAAATTTGTAAATAACCAAAGAAAAATTTTGGGGGCTGTAAACAGATGTTTCATCAGGCTGTCCCCAGATCCAGCCCTGATGCTAGGTAATGAATTCGACGTGTTAACCAGTCAGTACTACATAAGATGGAACATTTATCTATTTTTCACATTCCTCAAATCAACTCTAATCAAAATAGGTACCATTCAAATCTTGACATTCTCGATAAGGCATAGAACTAAAAGAAATTTGCACAGTTCTAGTTAATATACAGAGACTTCACATACTTACAAAAAAATATCCTACAAAACAAAACCTTTCAAAAAATTAATCGAAATATGAATATTTCCCTCTATACTCAAGTGGACATATGATCACACAATCTAAACATAACCCACCTTTGGTATGTGTACAATCTATCTGGAGCATAGAGAAATTGACGGAAACTGGTGAGTTCTCATTCTCTACGACGAAGTCACCCACGTGATGATAAAGCCATCTCCCTGATTCGTCCAAATGACGTTCTGACGTATCGCATTGGCCATCCGATGTTGACAGTTGAAACCGGATTGGTTTGATGTCCCAACCATGAACTTGGTCTAAATTACATGTTTTCCTCCCACACTTTCTCAAAGGTTTGCCTAATTGTATCTTGAAAAGTAGACTGTATTTTCCGGGTGCAAATTCAAAGCTGATATTTCCGACTGCTTCTAACCACCATATTTGCCGGAGATAAGCTATTGATCCAAATCTGAAAGGAACAAAAGGTTCAATAAACCATAGTAAGAAATTAACAACGAAAAGATGCGTGTGTTGGGACAATATTGATTGATTAGGTACTCTACCATTTAGTTAATCTATAGACTATTGTGTCAATTAATTATGATATCACAAGTGGAGGAAATATTCGATCCCATCTAATAGACTTGTAGATAAGTATTATTAAGGTCATAACTAAATGCAACACTATAGTGTATTAGTTTCTATGATTGGTTTGGTGATTTTCAAATAAAAAGTGATGCATGCTAATGATAGACTTACCATGTGTTAAAGTGCCTCCCTTATTCTGGTTTGTTTAATCCCTTTAATTAACATAAATTTCTAAGTTGGGAATATATATATATATATATTAAAGTGATATAATGGGGGTAATGATTATGTATATATAAAATAATTTTTCATATTTTTGGTTAAAGTATTCAATTTATGTGGATAGAATCTGGATAAAGTTTTCAAATGATGTTCATTAAAAAATGATATGAGAAAAATAGATATGAGAAAAATAGATATGTGGGGAAATAGAAAGAAAGCCATCCAATTATTGATATGATCGAGCAAATTTAGGATAAGAGAAAATGACATTTCCGACGAGGACCCAAGACTTTCCCCCATTCACCAAAACAAAACAGCTCGAACTTATCTAAAGATTCTATATGCATAAACACATCAACTATTTATATATGTATACACACGTCATCATACATTTCGTATACGCGTTTAGTTTGTTATCAGATGTATAAAGATATAAGTTATTTTCATTTGAATCCTAGAGTAATCTATTGTTACTATATATACTGTATAATTATATGTATCAAAAATTCTTACCGGATTATTGCATTAGTAAGCTATAGTGGGTTTACCTTCTTCTTTTTTTTTTTTTTTTTTTTTTAATTCAAAGGCAACTATCTTTAGTTACTAAACACATTTTTCAAAACATTGATATGTAGTCTTATAAACTCTTTTTTTTTTGGGTAAAGATATTTCTATAGAGTCGTTTAAATTAAGAGTGCAAATAAAAACATAGACCTTTTTTTTTAGTTTTCAATTCCAACGTAGAAGAGTGTGTGAATACCAAATGTGTGTAATCTTCAACTTTGACCAAAGTCATTGCATATTTGCATGTTTATATAATTTGTAGCCAATGACGATCATTTGTCATTTTTTTATGTTTATATTATCCAATGATTAGTTTGAAAGAGAAGCAACGAAATGTTTGACAAAAAAAAAAAGAGAAGCAGCGAAATGCTGACACTTCTTTATTTCTTACTAGAGATATAAACAATACGTCTAAAGCACAATTATATACTCAAATAGAAATCTCGATAAAATATTGTTTTTCATTGTGTATGTTTTTTTTAGGGTCAGTCCAAACCAAAACTTTTCTAGATCTGTTTGGATTTAGACTGGTTGGCGAGGGAAAACGGTTTATTCGTATTTTCACTATGATCAATTTTTGATCGTGCTAAAACATATATGAATTCTTGCATTTCATCAGAGAGATTAGAGACACGAATGAACCGTTTTCTCGACCGGCCAGGTAAATAAGATGATTTTTATATTTTATTAATAAAAAAACAAACTGAGAAAAAATGATACTAAAAAAAATAGAGAGAGATAAAAAGGACCTGGATTCGTCGGAAGAAATATGTTCCCAATATCTGCGATCATCAAACCCGGTTATCTTCATTGCCATTGGTGATATCGCCAAACATACTTTCCCACTTCTCGTGTCCAACCATGCTTCCTTTTTTATTTACAATCCAAACATTAACTTTTATCAATATTCTAAACATATATTAGACCAAAAAAAAAATTCTAAATAAATGAATAAATCGCAACAAACTACAGAAAAGTATTTTTGTATTATAATATATGTTTTGTTTCTTCTTTCGTACACACTTGACACATCCACTCGGTCGACGGATTTTATAATTACAGCCTTTTTATTTTATTTGCAAGTCAAATCCAAACATACCGGAATCACTGATCCACAAAATGATTCATATATTTTATTCATATATGCCAAATTTATTTTCTCTAGGATAAAAAGAATTTGCAACGAAAAAAGAAAACTGAGTTAGATAAATATCCATGAAAACTGATTTACAAAATATCTTTCAAAATAGTGGTGCATTTTATTATCTATTCATATCAACTTGGCAAATTGCAAGATGTTCGTCTTTTTCATACATATCTTATTTATAGTAATAAATAAATAAATAAATACGACGTCCAAAAAGATACGAAATGTTACATATAGAATCTTTTTGTTGTCCAACTCTAGTTACATTTTTAATTTTTTTATACCAAAAAGTAAAAGTGTGATAAATAGTGATAGTTTCCCTGATTTTTTTGTTCTGAAAATTTTATTTAGTAAATTTTAGGCATGATGGGAAGAATAACTTTATACTTTAGACATGATTGTCAAACATTATCAATGAATTCGTAGACCTTATTATACTATCTCTACTCTCTAGAAGGTTTTCTAACACTTTCTTTTGGTCATAAAATGAAATAATCGACTAAATTAGATCTCTACATAAAAGGCCCGCCAAATAGATTCTATCTTTGTATACCCTCCCCGAAAAAAATTATTTTTCCTTTTCTATACTACACCCCAAGAAAATATCTAATGGGATCAAATTATTATTTTGTTAAAAAAGGGGACGTAATTGATATATGCTATATCGAAAGATTCTAAATACAAAAAATATAAATATTATTTGACAAAGTAGGAAAAAGAATATAGAACCTTTGTGCCGGCGTCGAAAAGGTTTGGTCGGCAAAGCTTTGCATAGATCTCTTTCTTGCGGATGATAAGTTTTTCTATTTCTCCATCTTCTTGTTGACCTTGTAAAATTCTTCGGATCAGAAACTTGTAGTTACGAGGAAGCTTGTGTTCCCATACGGTGTCGGACCTCGACGCTCTGTGAAATGACCTATTTACCCTCGCGAGTAGGCATATCTCCGGTGGTTCCATGTACATGAACATTGCCGTTATACAGTTCTCTGGCACGTCTTCGAGACTGCATAATTCTCTCGCAAAAGTCTCGGATCCGGCAAGGCAAGATGAAGCTGTCCCCATAGATGAAAGATCGGATGATATATGTATGATTCTTCTTTGATCTTTGTTTTTCTTTGGTCTATAAATATATATTCAAGATTTGAGTTTGATGTGGTGGAGAAGTAGAAAATATAGAGATGAAAGTAATGGGTTTGACATATTTGCGATTCTTCTGTTCTTTGTCTAATGGAAGAAGTTAATGGCTTTCTTGGTTTTAAAATGAGAGAGAGAGAGAGAAAGGGTGGTACGTGGGGCAAAGAAATTAATGTGAACAGAGAAGTATTAGTTTATATTTAATTATTTTGCTAGTAAGAACTTTTGTGATTTGGTGCAGCTAAAAATGTTCCAATCAACTACAGATGTAATTTCGATGATTTATGATGACTTTTCGACTATTTTTATGTTGGACTAGTCGTTTTTCTGACAATATCGTGCACATTTTATTTCTGGGAAACCTAATTAGACTATACCCTGGTTCAAGTATTTAGTATTATATAATTACAAAGTTAGTTTGCACTTTGCATCGACTAATTTCCCTCAAATTATGGTACAAAAATCCTTCTTTTTTAGGATTAATTTTCCTCAAATTTGTTTTGTACTTGGTTTTGTCAAAAGCTATAATTTAATTAAAACGGTTTAGAAATCTAAATGGGAGATACATATATAAATTACATAGATAAGATTCGGTTTGCATTTTTTTGTTTGTTTCGTAAAAATACATGTTGAATTGTAGCGGGTAGTGTTCTTTTACGATAAACAAACAAAATTACTCAAACGACTAGTTACTAAATTAATGATGTAGAAAAGTGTAACTTACAAAACATCTCTATATTATTATTAAAATAGACATTTTTAAAAAATAACATTTATTTTATAAATTATTACATGAAATGCCATTACAAATAATTAAAAATAATTAAAATAAGAAAAAATATAATTATTTTTTAAACTATTAAAAAAATATGGAAAGTCTGTATTTGTCATTTAATAGAGTATATTTACTATTTAATTTTTAAATATAAAGATATGATATTTTTTATAATTTTTATTTCAAATAATATTATTTAATATATTCAATTAAGAAAACGTGAAAAAAATATTTTTTTTTCAATTGTTTAAATGTGAAAAATCAAAATTAAAAGCTATGATATTAAAAATGTTGATTTTTTTTATAATCTGCTATATCTAAATGATTATATATATTTTTTTAAAAACTATTTTTAATTAAAAATTTAACGTGAGAAAATTAATTTAGTTTTAAAAAAATTCATGGTGAAATAAGAGTCGTTAAAACATATATATTAGAATTGATGTTTTTAAAGTTATATTTACATCGAATAAAAAATGATTAAATAAACGGTTTAGTCTGATATGATTGGATTGTGATTCTAATTTTTGAATATCTACAAAAAAAAATATTGTAATTCAAAATATTAACATTAAAAATAGGTGATATATTCAATTTATTAAATATTATAATTTATCAATGGATTAAATAAACAACTTATTATGATTTGTCAATAGGGTAAATAAACAGTCTATTCTGTTATAATCCTGTGTAACTAAAAATTATAATTAAAAATTTTAAAATTAATTTCTAAAATAATATTTAAAATATTATAATTCTGGGTATCACACGATATACAAATTAATTCCTAGTTATTATAAGAGAAATATATGTTGTGTGGACTTAATATGGAATATATTCAAAGGGTATGGTTTCATGTGACAAACTAGTCCACATGAAAGATGCTAATCATATCATAATCCTAGTTACCGGTAGAGGAAATTAAATATAAGAAAACCTGAACTGTCTATTAACATTACGAATGGTTTGTATTATTAATAAAAAAATATTATTTAATTTCATATGATCTATTTATTTTATTTGTTTATTTTGAAATAAATATCAAAAATGTCTTTATATAATCGAGATCTAGTGGGTGCAAAAAAAAAATCTGGAAATAGCTGATGGGCGCTTGTGGCCAACGCATTCTGACCAATAGGAGGGCGAGAAATCGATGAAATCATTTGTCAAATGTTTAATAAATTAGATTTTTATATTTGAAAATTCACATATATAGCGTGAAGTTCCCTATTGTCGAGTGGGTTGTGTCACTTTTTTGTTTTTTTTCTTGTGTGTGGGTGGTTAAATCTCTTATTCACGGATTTTTAATGTAACCAATCACACAAAAAAAATGTAGATGGTGGAACAATAATTTCATTTCAAGAGTAAATGTAACAATTATACGAGTACGTAGAAAAGCTTTTAACAAAAAAAGCCATACAGTTATTGGTACAAATAGATAGATGCATTCAGAGCCGGCCTTAAACTGCATATTTTTTACATGGGCCATAAGTTATATAACAAAAATTGGCTGTTTTATATATTTTTTTCAAAAAATGGATTGTTTTATCTTTAAAAATTTTCATGTAAACATAGAGATCGCAAACCCATGCTTGGTTTGCTTGGGCTCAAAGCCGGCTCTGGATGCATCGTTTCTTCACCGCAGACGAATAATAATATATTTAATTTTAAATTTGTAACCATACTACGTTGATGGGAGTGACATTTTTGGTTATATTTTATGATTCACGTGAATCGCGTGTAAGCTACTAACAATGAAATAAAATAAATGTCAGATCTTCGAAGTTATAAGCTAGCTTTCAAACCACTGATATTATATTAATTTTAAAGATCACGCCAGAGAAACGAGGATTTAGAGCGCGACTTGTGGAAAACATTGTTTTTTTTTTCGCAAATAAGTCTTGCAAGTTACAAGAACCGTTTTGAAGAATTTACAATACTTGATACGGAGGAAATATGAGCTAGGTTTTATCAAGTTTTATCCTACTATTGTTTCTGTTATTGCTCGAGTAACCATCAAACATCAGAGATTGCAAAATGGATTTTGGAAGATCAAATGGGAAGTGTTTCAAATTAAAATTGGTAGATACAAGGTGTGAGGATTGATAATATTGAAATCTTGTCAAATGGATTTTGCTCTCTTTATTATTATTTTTAAACATAAAAGGTTTATAAAATCAATAATTACAGCAACATGATGCTCTCTAAATGATGAGGAAAATTTGGAAACAAGAGTGAGACTAATTTTTGGAAGGAAAAACTGAGCCCAAAGACAATCATAGTCGTCTGATATGAAATCAGTGAGCTAGAAAGCCATTGAATTTGTGATCTTGCAAACACCGAACTGAAATTCTCAGCATATATAAGATATAATGAAATGAGATAACAAAATAGAGATAGATAGATATCGAAACGAGAATTTCATTTCAAAATGGAGGACAACCCTAAATAAAATTGTATGGCAGTAATTTTATTATTTTTATGAATTAGAATATAAGTACACAACTGCATATATATGTATGTGATAGAATATGTGCGTATGATCGGTTATACATTTAGTTTTCTAATAAAAACTAAGATAATTGTCATTTATCTAATCCAATCTTTTAATCAGAACACTCCAACGCATATTACCATTATGGTGCAACCTCCGCTGTGCAAACACAGCAAATCTGCATAAACAAAACAAGAACATCCAAAATATAACATTTTACCTTACTTAACATTTAGGTGGGTATATTTTAGTACAAAATACAAAATATATCAAATAATTTAAACTAATAATTATGTTCATACCTTGTTTCGCTCCAACCAACTTGAAATGCATTCTTTATGATAGATATGAGCACATGGCAAAGTCGATAGCGTATCTCCCTCGTTGAATTCATTAAGACATATCGAACACCTTCATTATCCCCAAAACCAACACAAACCAATTTAGAATCGCATACTAAACCAGAACTTATATTATAACATTGAACGAAAATAAACCAAATTTTAACTCTATCACCAAACATGCGCTTTACAATTGTATTATGTTTCACAAAATATGTGGCTTAATATTTTCAGTCAAATAGAAAATTATAATGATAGAGACTAGTTAAAAAAAAAAAGATATAGCATTAAGAAAAAAAATATATTAGTCAATTTGTTTATTTCTAAATTTATTATGTTTAAAAGATAGGAAAAAACGATAGTTTTATAAGTGGCAATATAGTATCAAACAAAGAATTAAGAGCATAAATTATGATCTTACTGAGTATTTTTGGAGCCAAAAAATTTATTTTTAAACCATGAGCCCGTGCTGAATTTATGAGTTGGTAATTGATCGATTCTACTCTTCGACAATCCTTTGTTGACCGTTCCGATTGATTCTCCCAATTCATTTAGCTCCTAACCAGAGATATGACATCTTCTATATAAGTTCTTCGACGTTGTCATAGCGTTATAATAATCATATACATCCTTTTTATTGTGTGCATACCTCATAAGTCATATTATCTGGATCAATATCAACATTAGGAGGAAAAGACTGCGAAGATGAAGGATCTGAGGAACTCCCAACATGATTTTGTTGATTTGAGGAACTATCATGGGGAAGTGAGGTTGAATGGTTCACTACATATTAAAAATGAAATGTATATATAAATTATTTCAATATTATTTACAATATATATAATGTTCGGAATTTAACGCTTAATACCTTCTAGGTTTTGGAATTGATGGGTAATGTGGTTAACATTGTCCGTCAAAACATCATGATTCGCCATATCTTGGGACACATATCAATTTAGACATATATTACAAAAAAAAAATATAATAGTAGTACATTCTTTTTTAAAATAAAAATAAAAATATATATACTTACATTCCTTTTCTTGTAAGGATTTAGCATATTTTTCGTCATCGCTTAAAGAGATTTGAGGATTATCTACATGCAGAACGTTTGTAAAGAATCAAATAATAAAATAGCTAGATCTACATAGTATGGTATAGATAAATCTCCAATAAATACTTTAGCAGTATCATTTTAAATTCGCAGTAATATAATTTAAGTTTTTAAGTAAAATTTTGGGCAAAATCACGTTTTGCAAAAATATTTTTTTTTTCATAACACTAGCTAGTTAACTAACTCATTAACTAAAAAGTGTAATTTTGTTTTATCAAATTTGGAATTATATCAAAATTACCTTCCATTTCTTGCCATTTTTTGGCCAACTCTTCATCAGCATACAAAGACTTCATACGAGCTTCTATATTAAAAAAAAAAAAAACAAATATAGATGATCATAATTCATAACTAATCGTCAAGCAATATTGGATGATAAATATATAGCAAGGTAAACTTAATAAAGGCCAAATCAGGGGCGGACTGAATCAAAGTTGAGCTGAAACAGACCAAACTAGGTCGGATATTGGTTCATTACAACAAACCTTATAAATAATCTTACCTTCTTCTTGTTGTTGAAACTGCCTTGCAATATCTGCATCGTCAAATGACGATTCGGGAGAATCATACAGCAGAGACGCGGCCAAGGCTTCATCAATTTCCATCTGGTTCGGATGCATCCTCGGTTGTTATGTTGAGAGAAAAAAAAACAAACAGGAAGATTGATTACGTTTTTGTGAAAACTCAAAAGGATTCAGACTGCAATCATTCCCATCACTCAAACATTTTACGAAATTCTCAAAGCTTTTATTGAGAGATATTTTTGGTAATTAATGACATTGATTAACCATTCCCATTGATTAGAGCAATTAGAGAGGCAATTAGCACGCCTTGTAAATTTGCTTCGTGTGTTCGTGATCAAGGGAACGTTAATTATCAGCATGTAATCTCCATTAATATTCTTTGTTTTAAAATTTAAATATATATAATCTCGTATAGTAGAAGTACAGTTTTGGCTTTTCATAAGCCATCCACCTCGGCACATATCTCATTGTGCTAAATTAATACTCTTCATAGATTAACTTTGTTGATTTTAAGCTGAATTCACTGATTTTCAATTGATTCAAATAAAAATAATTGGAGTAGGTGCATCCAGTCCGAATTATTTTTACTAGCCAAGCAATTTTTGGACTAGTTGAAAGAAAATTAAGCTTAATTATCTTTATGTTTTTTTGGATTTAAAACATTTTCATATGAGTTAATGAATATCGTCTTTTCCCACTTATGAAATAATTTCTTACCATACGATCTATATCTCTTTATTATGTTTATCCTTCCATCTACCTTCATTTCTGTCTCTTTAGCTATGTGTGAGTAGACTTTATATTGGGTCTTGTAATTTAGACAAGAATGGAACATGGTCAATTGCTAGATTATATTAATTAGGGGTAAATCTTGGTAGATCTTTGACTAGTGAATTTTTTTAGATTAACCATCTCAATTTCGAATATAGGTTTTTTTCTAGCCAATAATGTGGTTGTTAAAATATTGAACTTTGAACCAAACTAAAGAAGGTGTCTAAGTTTTTTCTTGTATTTATAGACATATATTGCTATATTTTTACATGTTCATATCATTTTCACAACAAAATGTTTTATTTATTCATTTGCACAACAAATGTTTATATATTTCCACCATGGATGAAATTTAGAACATTACAATATGATTTTAAAAAAAAAATAAAAAAGAAATCTATCATGGATGAAATTTCTTCTAGCTTCAAGTCTTTATCTAAAGATAAATTAAAATTTCACCACCCTAAATATAGACCTCACGTGTGCACACACAACATATCTGCATAAAACAAGAATATACGATTTCATTAGAAATTTCATTCTTGAATGTCTTTTGTATGTATCTTTCAGTTCTGCAAACACAGCATAAGTATATAAACTCGCACAAGTATTATTCGATTAAATAAATATTTAGATTGAAAATAAAGATTCAGGCTGAATTTAATTTCATACCGTGCTTTTTTTCAACCACTGTGCAATGCAATCCTTGTGGTAAATATGATTACACGGTGGCAAAGTAGTTATCTTATCTCCCTTCTCATAGTCGACTAGGCATATCGAACATCTATAATGTCACCCAAACCAAATTTAAAACCATGTGTCTAAACCAAAAAAGCTTATATATATAATATTAACCAAGACTAATGATAAAGTTACATTATAGATAAAAATCAGGACCAAGAAACTGTAGATATAAACAAGTTGAAGATTTATATAGTGATATGATCGTACCGAGTATCATCGGCGACAAACTTCTTTTTCTTTTGCCACCACCACCTGAATTTGGGTTTTTGTCCGTACTTATGAGTTGGTAATCGAGAGATTTTCGATTCAGATAATCCTCTATCGACGTTTCCCACTGATTCTATAATATTTAGTTCCTGCTCATACCCATCACAAAAGTAATGAATAACGATCTATATGTGTGTGTTAGATTCTATCATGAAAAAGAAGTAAACATGAAAAATATCGGGTTGATGTACATTGCGCATCCGGCATACCTCAGTGGTCAAATTTTCAGAATGATCATGTCCACTATTTGACCCGATATCCGAGTAATCACGTCTATGTGTATACCAGTCTCGAGAGCTATTGCCATAGCTATGGCCAGTAAATCCACCACTAGTCTAATATTTAATAAGAAAAGAGACCTTTGGCGGTAAATTAACTAGCAAAATTTTATATGAAAAACATGTACATGTGTTTCTTCTTAGAGCTTAAAAAGAAATATTAGAGCCATTATGATTACCGAAGCAACACCATGATGTACGTGAAAGACTTCACCAGGACAGTACGGACAAACAAAACGTGGAGGAGGACAAAAACGACCATAATGCCAATAATTCACTACAAGATGAAAAATATGTTTTAAGAAAAATAGGAAAGGTTAGTAATACAACAATTTGATTATCATATATGATATATGCTTCAAAGGAAGGAAGAAAACAAGAAAATAAGGTAGGAAATGCTTATATTACAAATACCAGAGTTTAAATTGGAATTCTTAGTTTCTGTCGACAAAACAAAAGTGTGAAATTCCACCAAAATCAAAAACGCACAACCGCTGAGGGAAAAATCTAAGTTGAAATAATATATACTATACTACTATAATCTAGAACAATATGGATGAAATATATAACGTGGTAAACTTTATTTATTAGGGGATGGTTCTAAATTGATCAATAGTTTTTCTAGGATCCCCCATCACAAATTAAGACGAACCTAAAATTTTTTTATTATATAAAAGATGATGTTTTAAAATTAGTAACTCGTGATTAGATTTTGACACATATTTAATTGTTTTCCAATTAGATATTAACAAATAGTATAAACAATAACGACAAAAATATAATATTGGTTCATTTCAGCAAACTTTATAAACGATTTTACCTTGTTCTTGTTGTTGAAAAGGCCTTGCAATAACTCCATTATGAATTGTCGATTCAGGTGAATCATACAGCAGAGACGCCGCCAAGGCTTCATCAATTTCCACCTGGTACGGATGCATCCTCGTTTGTTATGTCGAGGGGAAAAAGACAAACAGAAAGATTGATTATGTTTTTTCAAAAAATCAAAACGATACAGTCCGCAATCATTCCCATCACTCTACCATTTTAACAGAATTCTTAAAGCTTTTATTGAGAGTTATTTCGGTAGTTAATGACATTGCTTAATTACTCCTATTGATTAGATCAATTAGAGAGGTAATTAGCATGCCATATATTTGCGTCGTGTATTGGTGATCAATGGAATGTTATCAGCATGTAATCTCCATTAATTTCCACTAATATGCCGGGTGTTTAACTTTTTAATATATATATATATATATATTGTAAATGTAGTCTTATTTAAAATGTTTAGCTTATTCTCTAGCTTACGGGGTTAATACAAATGTTAATTGAACTGGCACTATAAAAAAAAAAAAATTCTCCCTTAATTAATCTTATTCAATGTTCAAGTGATTATATGTAAAAGTTGATAGAAAACGAGAAAAAGAAGAAAAAAATATTTCAAAATTTCAAAATTTTTGGTCTCTCTTGGTAAACTTAAACTAAAAACCAGACTCTGGTGTAAGAGATTGGTCGAATTTAGAATAATGACCGTTGAAAAAAATATTAGTAATTTGCATTTTGCAATTTTATTCGTGGATTTATTCGTGGACGATAAGGCGCATGGGATAATAATAGCTAGGCCCATATAATTTAATAGGAATTGTTTAGATAATTTACAAGATAATTGATCTGTCTAGTATACGCTGCTGGAAAACAAATTGTTTTTTTTGCTATGCGTGGAAAAACAGATTCTTGCCCAATTGAACCTAATCTGAGCCAAGTTCGAGTACCCATGAACTTGAATTACTTGTCTGAAGGCATTTTCGCATCACTTCATCTTTATATATAGGTTCAGTTGGAATATTTGGTTAGAAAAATACTACCAATTAGCAATGGCGATTGGAGATAGTGTTTAAACCCATAGTTGTAAAAGTATTTGAAATAGGCGGTTGGAAGATGATTCAGACGATTAAATGTTGATTTTCGAATGGTGACAAACTGAAAAAAAAATTAGACGTTTGGAGCAAACGAGTGGTTGTACCAAATGTTTTTTTATAAAAAAATTTTTATGGTTTTGTATTGTTTGTTTTTAAAAATTAATATGATATATGTTAAAATTATTTGTTTTTTCATTTGTATATATATATGTGTATGTGTATGTTGTTTTTCTATATTTTATTCAATTCAATTCACTTAAGACCAAAAAAAAAAAAAATAGATGTGGTTGTATTTAAAATCAGTAGACAAAAGAATCGAAAATTAGTAGTGCATTTCAAAAGTATCAAATTTTATCATTCTTGTATTTTTAACATAATAATTGTAGTTTATGTTTACTGAAATTTTAAATTATATATTATTATATTATTTTATAAATAATTATCTAAATAAATTAATAATTATTTATAATTATATTATTTAACTGCTATAATATTACCAATCAAGTTTAATATTGAACCGCTTTATGTTACCAAACGATTTTTTGCAACCATTATCTTTAACTGCCTATTTTTTAACCGCTTTATTTCAACCGCTTAAAATATTTTAACCGTATTGTTCAAACATGGTCACTAATGAGATCCATAGTATAAGAAAAAACATATGTAATCGCATATTTGACCGAATGGTCAACAATATATGCTAATAACATTTTTATGGGAAAACAAACTGCAAAACTACCAGAGAAAATAATAAACAACTATTTAAGAGAATATCTCCAATTTTTTTTTTTTTTTTTTGGTAAAAACTCAATACCTATATCATTCCATACCAACATGCCAAATGTCTGAACGCTAACAAAACCAAAACACATGTTTGATATATAGAAATTCACGCATAAGCACAATTATTCATCTCATTTAACAATCAAAGTTCAAAATTAAGGAGAATGATTGGACGATAATTCTTTTAGTAAACTCTAAGCCCAAACATATAGATTGATAAACATTCTGATTCGACGAGAATCAGCATTATGGATTAAACCTCAGCTTTGCAGACGCAGCATGTCTGCACATACAAAATTAACATTATATTCATTAGACACAATACATAATAGATATATACACGTACTATTTAATAGAAATTTAGACTGAGTTTAGTCCATACGTTGTTCAGTTTCAACCAATTTGAAATGCAATCCTTGTGGTAGATATGATTACACGGTAAAGTTTTTATCTTATCTCCATTCGCATAGTCGACAAGGCATATCGAACACCTATAATACCACTCAAACCAAATCAAACAAAAATTAGAATCATTATAAAGTTATAATAGCAATAATCATTAACTATATGATTTATTAGATTTAGTAACAAAACAAATATCCAAATGAGGACCCAACTTACAAATAAAATTTTAAAAATAAATATAGGGATATGATCTCACTGAGTATCAGTTGCAACGAATTTATTTTTCTTAATTTGCCACCACCGAGTTTTGGTTTTACTACCATACTTGTGAGTAGGCAATTTGGAGATCTTCCTTTGCGATAATCCTCTACAGACATCTCCAATCGAGTCTTCTAACTCATTCAATTCCTTTATTTTTCGTCCAAATATGAAAAAAAAAATCAATATAAAATATATAATATCAAGATCAGAAACCATATATACAATATTGGATGAAAATATTGGCACGGTGCATACCTCATACGTCATATTTGCGGGATCAATGTTCTCATTTGGAACATTTTGGGAATTAATTGATGAAATATTTGAAGAGGTACGAGTATGTGTATGATGACCCGAGAAGTGATCACCATCTTCATAATGAAAAAATGCTCTACTAGTCTAAAATATACTCCAACACAAAACAAATTGCAATAAATAATCAGTTTAGTTCAACTAATATATGTGTCAATTTGGATTAAGAAATCACACATAACACCGTAAATTTGATAGGAAGAAAAACATGATAGTTGATCTATCTATTTATAGAGTCACTAATTACGTATTAATAAGCTTATCTAGCCTATTATGAGTAATAAATTTTCATAATTTGACCCCAAAAAAGTCACTATTACCGAGGGAGCATCACGTTGAGGTATTGACGGATGAATTACTGCATATTGAAAAAAATAATGGAAGCGTTAGGGTAATAAGTATCAAACAAAGTCATGAGAAAATATTTATGTCAAGATACAATCATATCATGCTTTGATATATTTCACATTTTTGCTTTTGAACATTTTTAAAAATAAATTTGAAACAACTTGAGTATTTTTTAAAAGAAAGAATTTTTTTTAGAAACTTAAAATCCGAACCCAATCGTACATGCTCACTAGATAATACCTTGTATGGGTTGGTATTGATGGGTTTCCTGGACATCCACGTCAATACCATTTGCCGCTGGGAATTATAAAACATTAAAAGGTTGCAAGATCTTTTCAATTGGTAAATGACAGAATTATTCGTCAAGTAAAGAAATTAATAATATTAAAGCATAAAATGAAAAATTATATATTTACATTCATTTTGTTGTTGCAAATCTCGAGCAAGTTTTTCATCATCACTCAGAGAAGTCGACAGATCACCTGCAAAACAAATGGAAATGAAAATACCATTAAATTATTCATATAAGTGATTTATATTGGTTTATGAATAATATATGATTAATTAGTATTTATGGTTTTATGGACATTAGAGTAAAGTGTCAGAAGTTGTGCTAAAATCAAAAAAGACCTCAAGATAATTTCATTTAAAGATTATCTACTGTTTGAATGTATAGTGATTTCAAACTAAATATATAGAGGCAGAACAAAATTTACCCTCTATGTTTTGCAATGTTCGTGCATATATATCATCATCATCATATAAATAACTTACTTTGAAATTCAATACAACAATGAGGTTATTCTCGTTGTATGAAAAAAAAATTCACACAACTTAATTTCTAAATCATTTCTTATATGATTTTCTAGATTCATTAAAACAAAAATACGGTCACTTTTTTTTTGTAAGACAAAGTGAAAATTGAAATTTATATACTAACCAAAAAAAAAAGTTCTCTCTTGAAAACAAAAAATTTATATGTATAAATGATATGTATACCTTCTTCTCGCTCAATCTCCAAAGCAATAGCAACATCGTCAAACATCAAATTGTTTTGATATTCTTGTTGAATCTCCCGAGCGATAACATCATCATTAGTAGTTGGTTCTGAATCTTCTGATAAACCATATTGTAAGAACAATGCCATTTTTTCGTCAAGAGATAAGTGGTTTACAAACCGAGACATATCTATATCTCAGATTCTCAACGAAAGAGATGATGCGTTCCAGAATGACCGATCTCTATACTTTCTCTTAAACAACACAAGATAATTGATAACCATAATCTATCTCATCTCCAAATCTTTTTAAATAAGCAATTGAAAGAAGCCTCTTCTAACGAGATATTAGGGTAATTAATGACGGCAACGGAAAATTATATCAATTCAAAAACTTTCTTTGTGCGCCTGTTGAATTCATGTGATTAAGTGTATTTGATTTATTTTGGCTCCAAAGATTTACTCTGTCTCTAAAGATTTAAAATGGTAAATGTTGATGCCCCTTATTCGCCACGTTGACTTTTATTTATTGCTTTAAATATACAGTATAGATACAAAGTTGAGTTCTTTACCGAAATGTGTTCAAAGACCCGAAGGTCAAAATGAAGTTTCTTTTCCATAATGAGATATATTTATTATGTAAGTTATTGGCATATGCTACTTTTAAAATAATCGCTAAATTTATTTTAAATAGTAAATAATCTTTGTATTAATTATGCTTCGAAGCCAACATATTGGATTTTTAACTTTAATATGTATATATATAACACTCACATAAGCTACAATATATATCGAGTTGTTAGTTCTTAATCTTATTGAGCTAATAATAACTCACATAAGCTACAATATATTTCCATGCAAATAAGTTTTTTGATGATAACAATTTTCATTGATTAGATACTTTACCGAGTTTTTGTTTTTTGATGAAATTTCAAATTCATTAAAAATAGATTTATTTACAAATAGCTAGCGAAAAAAAAAATAGTACCTTTAAAACAAAAAAGAGATTCACGTACCAATTCGAGCACAGTCAAAGTGGTTTAGTCTCAATTGATTTACAACCCTCATCAGGTTTTAATTCCATATTGTTACCAATTTGACCAAGAAAAAAAAAGATTTGATGTTGTACCAAAAAAAAATTAAAGCATCAAAGTTGGTCTTAAATATGCTTTTTTTTCTTGTATTCAACTAAACATATAGAACAATACCTAAAACATTATCCAAAGGAAAATTAAACCAGAACTCAAACTGGGATATATTTTCATCATTTAAAAAATACTAAACTGTTGAATATAATGTACTATGATATGATATAATCTAAGATATATGTGTTTATATATAAGCTATATATATGTATATAAAGGTGAGCGATGTGTTTGGTAGTGGGAAGAGAGAGATGAAAAGAAGTGGAAGGTGATTTTATTTCTCGTAAGTTGCATCTATTACAAAGAGAACCAATCACATATTACAAAGAGAACCAATCACATATTTATAGAGGGAAGGTAAGCATATAATAATGAAGCATAGGCGGTGATTTTAAGTCGGTAAGATTTTGCTGTAATAAATATGACATGATAGATAAGCATCCATTTTAACACTTCTCCTTGATTATCCATCACTGTTGATGTATTGCGTATTGTCTCGTTAAAAACCTTATCATGAAAAAACCCAGTAGGATAAAAACCATGATAAGGAAAAAAGAGTACAGTAACGTAATCTCCCCCTTGAATGATGGATATAATGTTCTCTTCATAAATCCCGCAAATAACGCATTCCGATACTTTGAATATGCCTTCTGAATACCATAGTAGGAAGCACTTTTGTAAAGAGATCCGCCGCATTTTCACATGAACGAACATACTGGATATCGACTTCTTGATTCTTCTCGAGCTCTTGTGTATAAGAGAAAAATCTTGGAGGAATATGTTTCCTTCTGTCACTCTTGATATAGCCTTCTTTTAGTTGAGCGACACATGCAGCATTATCTTCAAATACTTTTGTTGGTTCCGTATTGATAACTATTTCACTTGCACCTTGTATATGTTGAGTCATGGATCTGAGCCATATGCATTCTCTACATGCTTCATGAAGAGCAATGATTTCCGCATAATTTGAAGAAGTGGCGACTAAAGTCTGTTTTTGAGAACGCCATGAGATCGCCGTTCCACCAATTGTGAAAACATATCCAGTTTGCGATCGAGCTTTATGAGGATCTGATAAATATCCTGCATCTGCAAAACCAACTAGACCAGCTTCGGGGTTTCTATGATAAAATAAACCCAGATCAATCGTATCTTGGAGATAACAAAAAATATGTTTTATCCCATTCCAATGTCTGCGCGTAGGAGATGAGCTGTATCTTGCAAGTAGATTAGTAGCAAAGGCTATATCTGGTCGAGTACAATTTGCAAAATACATAAGCCCACCGATAGCGCTCATATAAGGTACTTCAGGACCTAATATGTTTTCGTTATCTTCACAAGATCGAAATGGATCCTTGTTAATATCAAGTGATCTATTAACCATTGGAGTACTCAAATGAGTTGCTTTATCCATTTTAAAGCGTTTTAACACTCTTTTGGTGTAATTTGATTGATGTACAAATATCCCATCTTGGAAATGCTCAATCTGGAGCCCTAGACAAAATTTTGTCTTTCCAAGATCTATCATTTCGAACTCTTCTTTCATGTGAGTTCTTGCATCATCAATCTCCTTTTGAGTTCCGATTATGTTTAGGTCATCAACATATACAGCAATGATCACAAATCCGGACGAGAATTTCTTAATAAATACGCAAGGGCATATCGCATTGTTGATGTATCCTTTACTCAACAAATATTCACGTCAGCGATTATACCACATAAGTCCAGAATGCTGTAATCCGTAAAGTGATCGATGTAATTTGACCGAACATATGTCTTTAGATGCTTCAGGCATCTTTGATCCTTCTGGGATCTTTACTCCCTCTGGAATTCTCATATATATATATCACTATCAAGTGATCCATATAGATATGCAGTCACAACATCCATAAGGTACATTTCTAGATTTTTAGATACCGTTAGGCTCATTAAGTACCTGAATGTGATTGCATCCATGACCGGGGAATATGTATCTTCATAATCAATTCCTGGTCTTTGAGAAAAACCTTGTGCCACAAGTCGGGCTTTATATCGTGTGACCTCGTTTTTCTCATTTCTTTTTCTCACAAAAACCCATTTGCACCCGACTGGCATTACATCTTCTGGTGTAATGACTATAGGTCCAAAGACATTTCTTTTATTCAGGGAGATTAATTCATTTCTCATGGCAATCTGCCATTTCTCTCAGTCAGGCCTTTTCTGGCACTCTGACACGGACCTTGGGTCTGGATCATCATTTTCATTTTCAATTTTTTGGATACTGAAAAGGAGAACATACCATTTGTATCATTTATCTCACTTCTAGCCCATAATGTCCCACTTTGGGCGAAGTTAATGGAAATCTCATACTTTTCAGTATCATGTTCGTCTTCTGGGCGAACTTCTTTAACTAGTTCTTCTGGAACCTCTTCACCAATGTCTTCAAGAAATTTTTCTTTATTCGGTTCTTCTGTAACCTTGTCTCTCAATTTCTTTTTCTTTCGAGGATTTTTATCCTTCGAGCCCATCGACATCCCGCGCTTTAATTGAACCGGCGGTTCATTTGCTTTATTCCCATCAATAACTAGTTCCAGAACAATTATTTTTGATGGAGCATTAGCAGCGGGGATATATGATTTTGTCACTGTTCTCGTATCTGTGAACGCATCAGGTAACTGGTTTGCCAATCTTTGCAAATGTATGATTTTCTGAACTTCCATTTCGCGTTGATGGGTAGGGGGATCGAGATAAGCCAAGGTTTGTGTACACCATGTGATATCCTTTGGTGATTCTCTTGATCCTCCCCCCCAAAGCTGGGAATTCATTTTCATTAAAGTGTCAATCGGCAAAACGTGCCGTAAACATATCTCCAGTTACCGGTTCAAGATATCTAATTATACTTGGTGACGTATAGCCGATATATATTCTCAATCTCTTTTGTGGCCCCATTTTTGTTCTTTGCGGCGGGGCTATTGGAACATAGACTGCACATCCAAATATACGGAGATGGGATACATTTGGCTCCTTGCCAGATGTTAACTGTATTGGGGAATATTCATTATATGCACTTGGCCTCATCTGGACCAATGCCCCAGCATGCAATATAGCATGTCCCCATACAGTAATTGGGAGTTTTGTTCTCAATATTAACGGTCTTGCTATCAGTTGCAACCGTTTTATTAAAGACTCAGCCATGCCATTTTGTGTATGAACATGTGGAACCTGATGTTCAACATCGATTCCTAATGACATGCAGTAGTCATTAAAGGCTGCTGACGTGAATTCACCAGCATTGTCAAGCCTGACTTTCTTTATGGCATAATCAGGGAATTGCGCTCTCAACCTGATTATTTGGGCAATGAATCTTGCGAAAGCTATATTTCTTGTGGTTAATAAACACACATGTGACCATCTGGTAGATGCGTCAATTAATACCATGAAATATCTAAATGACCTGCACGGTGGGTGAATCGGTCCACATATATCACCATGTATTCTCTCTAAGAATACAGGAGATTCATTCCCAACTTTGGCTGGCGAGGGCCTAGTTATGAGTTTTTCTTGAGAACATGTCTGACATGAAAACTCTCCCGATTGAAAAATGTTTTGGTTTTTCAATGGGTGGCCATTCGAATTTCGCACAATCCTTCGCATCATGACTGATCCAGGATGGCCAAGTCTTTCATGCCATACTCTAAATGTACTAGTAAACCCCGGGTTTACTGTAACATAGGATTCAGTCATATTTATTTTTGTGCAATATAACCGAGAGGACATCATTGGTAATTCTTCAAATACGTGTTTCCTCTCAGATATAATGCAAAGATATTCAATGCCATTCTTATTTGTACTTGCTATATGATATCCATTTCCTCGGATATCTTTAAAACTTAGCAAGTTTCTACTAGATTCGGGGGAATATAATGCATCATTTATTTCAAAATTTGTCCCCCTTGGCATTGAAAAATTAGCTCTTCCGGAGCCAATTATAATATTTACATTACCAGATATGGTACCCACGCTTCCGGCGGAGTCCTTTATTTTGAGACAGGAGAAATACTTTTTATGTTTAAGTATAGTATGTGTCGTAGCACTATCGGCTAGACATGTATCTCCATCCTGAATCTCAAATGATGACATAATCTGAATCAAAATATGCAAGAAAATGCATTAATAAATCAAAACATAATTTTAAAAGTTATTTATATTAAGAAAAACCTTGTCTTGTTAACAAAAACATTTAAAATTACATAGGGTTTTTCTTGCCTTCTTCAAGAAGACTTTACATTACATCGATCTTAATCGCTTTGTTTCCATTGATTCTTCTGGATCAACTAGGAAATCAGCGATATCAAGATGAGTATAATCACTTATGCCATCAAAGGAAGTTCCAGCTTCATCAGAGATGAAATTGGTTTCAAAAATCTTTCCTTTATCCTTTTCTTTGGCATCTTGTGATGCTCGATACAGATCGGCTAAATGTCTTGGTGTACGACATGTTTTTGCCCAATGATTTTTCATGCCGCATCTGTAACAAGCAGATTCCTTTTGCTTTCTTGCTTCCCGACCGACATCATTTTGTCTTCCTCGTCCACGACCTCGTCCGCGACCGCGGTAACGGTTCTATTATTTTGACTGGATGACGCAACATTCACTTCTGGGAATGGTGATGATCCAGTTGGACGAGTTTGATAGTTTAACATCACGAGCTGATTATTTTGTTCAGCTACAAGGAGGACTTGCATCAACTCCGAGTAAGTGGTGTAACCTTTTGCCCGGTATAGTTGTTGCAGAATTACATTTCCAGGATGAAATGTTTGGAGAGTTTTTTCGATCATGTCGAAATCACTTACTTCCTGTCCACATAACATCATCCTGGAAGTAATTCCGAACATAGCAGAATTATATTCACCAACACTTTTGTAATCCTGAAACCGGAGGTTTAACCACTCATGTTTGGCTTTTGGTAAGATCACATATTTCTGGTGATCAAACTTATCTTTAGGAGATTGCCAAAGATCTGCAGGATTTTCTTTCGTGATGTATTCTTCTTTTAAACTATTATCGATATGGTGGAGCAAAAATATCATGGCTTTCGCCTTTTTCTCATCTGAAGTCGTTTCTGACTTATCGATGGTATCGAGAAGCCCGTTTCCTCTTAGATGCATTTTTGCACCTACTGCCCATGACATATAATTTTTCCCAGACATATCAAGAGCATGGATTTCGAGCTTTGCCAAATTCGACATTATAACTGTATATAATTTTATCAAAAATAAATTTAGCAAACGTTCAGTTTAAAAATTTGTTTTTCGAGAAAAACATGATACAAAAAAAAATAATTCTCACACATAATAAAAGCATGAAATTTAAAATAATATAGGAGGCAGAGCCTTCCATATAATTTGAGGAGGTAGAGCCTACCATATTTTTTGAGGAGGCAGCCTACCATAATTTTTGAGGAGGCAGAGCCTACTATATAATTTTTTGAGGAGGCAGAGCCTACCATATAATTTTGAGGAGGCAGAACCTTCTACTCCATAAACATAATATCGAGGAGGAGGTTTAACCTTTTACTCCATATATATAATCTGAAGAGACATAGTCTACCATATGATCATATGATCGTGAAGGCATAGTCTATCTCAACGATCGGTTCGGGAAAGGCAGAACCTATCATCCGGTAAACTTTAATATAAATTTAATTAACGGTTCGGGGAAGGCAGAGCCTATCATCCCGAAAATAATACGTAAAACTTGAAATAAATATAAATTTAAATCTTACCTCTTTAAGTATAAGAGCGGATCAAGAGACGTTCGTGCTGATAACGTGTTGAATATGATGTACTATGATATGATATAATCTAAGATATATGTGTTTATATATAAGCTATATATATGTATATAAAGGTGAGCGATGTGTTTGGTAGTGGGAAGAGAGAGATGAAAAGAAGTGGAAGGTGATTTTATTTCTCGTAAGTTGCATCTATTACAAAGAGAACCAAGCACCTATTTATAGAGGGAAGGTAAGCATATAATAATGAAGCATAGGCGGTGATTTTAAGTCGGTAAAATTTTGCTGTAATAAAATATTACATGATGGATAAGCATCCATTTTAACATAAACGTATATTTCATGGATTAGTCATGGTAATATGTTATAGTAATGACGATATCGAACTAAAAGGCTATATGTATATAAACAAGTTGAAAAGATAAATTATATGACCTTACTGTTTCTAATAGGGAACAACTTCTTGCATCACCATGTTTTTTCTTTTTTCGACAGTCAAGATACTTAGAACGGTTTAGTAATCCGAATCGATAATATCGAGTTAATATACAATATCATGAGGATAGATCTATGCACTTCATGCTAAGTTGTCTGTTTTTATGTTTTTTGCACATGAGATATGTATTAGCAAAAAATAGGTGAAAGCCTCCTTACTCTTCGCAAACTCCTCCAAGTGTAGATCAAAATAGATCATTTTTCAGATGTCGACACCATCTTCACCAACTCAGAACAGTTTGTTGCGAAATCTACTTCCGTCTTCTGATTTGTACTCATACAAAGCATTGTCCAAATAAGAGCTTCTAGTTCTAAGTAGGGTTAAACTATGCCTCACATTCTTTGCTCCTAGTATATATTCGTCAATGCCTTCTTTAAAATAGTACTATCCAAGCTCAGATGTTTTGTCTGTTGCTTTTCAAAACTCATCTATATAACACCATCATCCCACATAATGGGGGCTAGTGATATTTGAGATTTGCATATTGGTTTATCCTTCGCTTTGATGTGCCTCTTCTCAAAGTACTCTGTTTCCACAATCTGGAATATAATTTCTGGGTCTTTCTCCACATTTGAATATAGTTTTTTGTTATTTAATTTCTAAATATACCACATTATCCATAGAAAATGTGAATTTTGATACTTTTTTAGAATTCTCCAAAAAAAAATAGTCAAAATTTTTAAATATCAACGTTGTTGGAAAAACTCCTGTAAAAATAGATATCTGATATAGAGTTCATACCCTGGTGGGCATTAAAAAAAGTATCATTAATTGTTTTTTTCTTGTACACCACACCGAAAACATTGGCACCACCATGTTTTATAATTCATACTATGATCTTTCTAAAAAATACATATAGTTGCTTGCCTGTTAATTTTAATAAAAAGTAACATCAAAAGGATTGGCTTCTTTGTATAATTCTATACACATAGATGATTAATTTACTCGCATGATATTACCTCTAAAGAGATTTTTTTTTTTTTTTGGAAACAGTGATTGTAATTAAGAGATAAAATGAGATAGTTTTTAGTTTTAAAAATTCAAACTTAGTAAGATTACGACATATGTAAAACATTTAAACATAATAAAAATTATATCTCTAAATTAAAGAGAAATAAATATGTATTTGAAATATAAAAAGGTAACAATGGATTATGATATATTATCAGAACAAAATTAGTAAGAAATTATTGTAACTAATAAAAAATAATCATTTTTATAATTTATTAGAGTGTGGTATGTGTAACAAGATATTACAAGTAATTTCCAATTAGTTTAGATCTGCTCTAAACCAAGACATGTCTAATGAAAATGCATGCAGCTTTCTATTATCGTTTGGAATTCACAAAAATTGCAGACAGTCAACCTTTGATACAGGTTTCGCAAACAATAGATTTATTGATCTCAAAGCTTTGGTAATTTGGGGCTCAGATTTAGATGATATTAGACGGTCTACTATTTTCTCTTCAACGGGCGCATTGAGATAATTTCTTAGAAGTATGTAAAGTGTCTTTGATATCTTTCGGTCAATTAGAGAAATTGGCGATGTGATTAGTGTGCCAAATCCTGCTTCGTTTAATATATTAATTTAACAAATAGTAAAACTTATTTAGTATAATTTTCTATACAATTATTTTTTATTTTATTTTTTGAATTTTTGAATTTTATATTTCAAAGTTTTTTCATGTCATTATCGACACGTATTGCTATATTCTAACATGTTCATATAATCTGCACAACAAATGTTGTATATACTTCTTAAATGAACACATTTTTTTTTTGTCGTAAATGAACACATTTAAAACATTATAATATGTTTTTTTATATATAAAAAATCCATCATGGGATAACATTTCTTCTTGTTTCAAGTCTTAATCTAGTGATAAATTAAATAAAATTCACCACCCTAACAATAGACCTCGCGTTTGCACACACAGCATACCTGAATAAACAAGAATATATGATTTTCATTAGAAACTTTAGATTTGAATGTATTTTGTATGTATCTTTCAGTTCTGCAAACATATGATCCTCTATACATACTCACACAAGTATTTCTATTCAGTAAAGATTTAAACTGAATTTATGTTCATACCGTGTGTTTCTTCAACCACTTTGAAATGCACTCCTTATGGTAGATATGATTACATGATGGCAAAGTAATTATCTTATCTCCCTTCTCATAGTCGACTAGGCATATGGAACACCTACATTGTCACCCAAACCAAATTAAACCAAAGCTATATATGTAATATTAACCAAGACTAACAATAAATTTACATGACAACTGGAATCAAAGATAAAAACCAAGCTGTAGATATAAACAAGTCGAAATAAATATATAGTGATATGATCGTACTGAGTATCATCAGCGACAAACTTCTTTTTCTTTTGCCACCACCACCTAAATCTGGATTTATGTCCGTACTTATGAGTTGGTAATCGAGAGATTTTCCATTTAGGCAATCCTCTATTAATATTAACGTCTCCCACCGATTCTATTAACTCGTATAATTCCTGCTCATCCATATAATAAAGGCAATGAATATCGATCTATTTATATATATATATATATATATATATACATATATATGTATTTTGTTAGATTCTATCATGAAATAGAAGTAAGCATAAAATGATCGGGTTGGTGACATTGCACATACCTCAGTATCTATTTCGGAATCACTGTGTCTACTATTTGATCCGATATCTGAGAAACTACCTGTAGGTGTATATCGGTCTGGGGAGTTATTGCCATAACTATGGCCAGTAGATCCTTCACCAGGCTAATATTTTGATATTAAAAAGAAACATTTTTCTGTAAATAAACTATCCAATTATACACGAAAATATGTGTTTCTTCTTACAGCTCAAGAAAAAAAAATGGTCAATAAGAAAAAATATAGAAAAGTATTAAGGGAAAAACTCAGTTCTAATTATTTCCACAAGCAGTGTATATATACATTACATAACTAATGCATCAGAAACCCTAATAGGTCATGAGACATTAACCTGATGGTTAATGGGCCGGTTACTAGAAGTCCATTTGTTTATAACACTCCCCCTTGGACAAGGTAACCGTGCCTGTCACAAAACCGGGATCTCTATAATGCGCTGGGGAAAGTTGCCTCATTAAAACCTTACCAGGAAAACCCAGTGGAAAAAACCATGGTGAAGGAAAAAGAGTACAACATGCATTACTCCCCCTGGTTTAGGCATCACTGTAGATCTCTAAGTCTACGCATTCCTATCTGATGAATGAGATTCCGGAGTGTAGAAGTTGGTAATGATTTAGTGAATAGATCGGCTGAATTTTCGCTTGATCGGACTTGCTGAACCTTGACCTGACCATCCTTCTGTAGCTCATGAGTGAAGAAGAATTTGGGCAGAATATGCTTCGTCCGGTCACCTTTGATGTAGCCGTCCTTGAGTTGAGCGATACAAGCTGCATTGTCTTCATACATCACCGTAGGCTCCTTATCTTCGTCCATACCACAATCTGATCGGATATGCTGAGTCATGGACCGCAACCAAACACACTCTCTACTAGCTTCGTAAATGGCCAAGATTTCCGCATGGTTGGATGAGGTAGCGGCAATAGTCTGCTTCATGGATCTCCAAGATATGGCTGTTCCTCCATGCGTGAAAACATAACCGGTTTGAGACCGGGCACAGTGCGGATCTGACAAATATCCTGCATCAGCAAAACCAACTAGACCATCCTTGTTATGGTTAGAATAAAATAATCCCAAGTCCTTAGTACCTTGAAGGTATCTAAGGATGTGCTTAATACCGTTCCAGTGCCTTTGAGTTGGACACGAACTAAAGCGAGCTAAGAGGCTCACGGCAAAGCAGATGTCTAGTCTAGTGTGGCTAGCCAAGTACATTAATGCTCCTATAGCACTGAGGTATGGCATTTCAGGACCGAGGATTTCTTCATCGTCCTTCTTTGGACCGAA